AGTCTGAGTCTGAGTCTGAGTCTGAGTCTGAGTCTGAGTCTGAGTCTGAGTCTGAGTCTGAGTCTGAGTCTGAGTCTGAGTCTGAGTCTGAGTCTGAGTCTGAGTCTGAGTCTGAGTCTGAGTCTGAGTCTGAGTCTGAGTCTGAGTCTGAGTCTGAGTCTGAGTCTGAGTCTGAGTCTGAGTCTCTCTCTCTCTCTCTCTCTCTCTCTCTCTCTCTCTCTCTCTCTCTCTCTCTCTCTCTCTCTCTCTCTCTCTCTCTGACCCGGGGTCCTTCTCAGGTCGATTAAATGGAATCCTTGCGTCCCTCACTTACGTCGTTTCCCTGCATTTAGTCCCTCCCACCAGGGAAGCATGGAGAGACGCAAGGGTTGCGTTCCGATAATTCAAAAATCAGCTCCTAAATTCTAACCCTATCTCCTATTCCTTGACCTCTGAGTGAAACGTCACCGGGTTAAGGGATAGTGGATAGGAGAATTCAAAAGGACTTAGGAGAAGAGACCGCGGTACTTTAGAGAATCCGAATGCACTTTCACTATCCGACGTGTTTATGATGCGCCAGCGGACGTCATGAATGTGCGTCTGCTGCTGTGGGGAAACTATGGAAACTACAGTTTTCTATACAGCGGACTACAACATGGATGTTTAATAAGAACGACGGACTACTGTAAACTCATCTAGAGACTCTGCACCGTGCTCTGATGCTGTTGCTTTATGCTTTATGAACGTGGACAACAGTGAAACATATTCTTCAGGACCAAAGTTGGAATTGAAATAAAAAAGGAAAGTGAAACTTATGCTCGTCACCCTCTCCCTCCGGTCCACATTAATACAAATGATCCCAATACGTATGATTGTATGAACTATTAAAAGATCTTAAAATAAATACAAATGTATTTATTATAAACGTTAGTCCTTAATATCTATCACTGTGTACATCACCATTCAAACATCTTTTAAAAGTTGAACAAACCCCACACAGCTCAGTGAAATGTTGACTTTATTTGATCATTTCAGTAAAAACTAACGTTCATATTTCTCTTTTTGATTATAATACTGATGAACGTTCAAAACAAAGCACTTTGGCAACTTACCACATACGTTTTTAAAATGCTTAATAAGCACCGTAACTTTCATGATATAATTTCTCGGTCATAATCGGTTGTGTCCGTGAACGGCCTGTTGAGTGACGGCAAATGCTGCGGCTGCAATGCATTGTGGGGCAGCATTTTCTCCTCTCCTTTCGGTTAGGGAGGTCCAGTGGTTCCTAAGCTAAAGGAGGTTATAAAGGAAGTTTGAAACCTCCTTTCCTTTCATTTGGAGAATTGGAACGGCACTTATCATGGCTGCCAGTGACGTACTTCCGGGTCATTTCACTCCGTTAGGAAGGTTCCTAAGCTAAATGGACTATTGGAATGGGCCCAAGGAAACCACGAGACGCAGGGAATGTGAAGCGACGTCCGTTTGTGATGACTCCGCACAGCTGATCTTCTGACAGCAGCTCTGTCCCAGTTATTTTCACATTTGACACAAACATTTGGATCATCTGTTGTAGACCCAAATAAATAAAATAAGAACTCATTCTCAAAAAAGATAAACGCCATTCTTAAAACGTATAAACGAACAATAGTTTGATTAATATTGATTTGAGTGCACAATATCAAAACCCAGTTAGATTACCATTCATTGAATTGCACACTTTGTTTGTTTGTGTGGATATGTAGCAAATTAACATTTTAATAGCACTTAATGACTGACTGAATGGAAATGACAATAAATGAAAATGTAAAACGAAAAAAGCGATCATGAAAATGTTTCCAATAAATGAATACAATTATTTTTGACCACTTTGTTATTCAGATATATCACATATTTGTAACTAAATGATACATGAATTGCAACAAAACACAGTATAGACTGAGGAGTGACTCTCGTGAGTTTCATGTATTTTCTTCACTCCGCTGGGAAACTGCTCTCATGTCAAGAAGCATCAGATCAGTGCATGCACTGCCTCGTCCAATCAGTGAGCGATACAGTAAGGGGGCGGGCGAGTATCTGTGGATTTCATCGGCGGTGCGCACCAGTTATGTGCAGCCCTGTTTATAACACTGTAAGAATGGGTCTGCGGAGAGCATTTCTCCGCGATCCCAACTTAGCAGCCCGAAAAACATTTACCCATTTAAACAGTTGTGGTAGATACCTTGTTTGTTTCAAACATCATAAATACACAAACAACAATGAATACTTACAGGTTGTGTACCCGAATCTCCCGCTGGTCCAAACAAAGTAGGAACAGAATCGCTCTTCGGTGCCCTACGCTGTACATATCCGGCATGAATCGCTGAAAGGTTTGTGAAGCTTTGTTTCATGAAATGCTGGCAGAGGGTGTGGCCTCTGGGCATTCACACGTCACAGTACCCAGGAAGTAAACAATGGAAAATGAGAAATCTCCAACGAGGCGTTTTGGGGCAGCATAGACTGTTAGTTTTACTCGCTACAGGGTGTACTTTGAGGGTTTTTGACTCTGCAGACCGTTTACATGCATAAAAACCGGGTAATAACCGGAAAAGCATGACATGGGCCCTTTAACTTCATTTTAATAATTCTTACTTAGTTGGTTGTATTTTCCATCTTATGTTAATCATTTATCTTGTTTTACCATAATATTCAAGTGTGTTTGAACTCTTATTTTCCATTCATTGTGGCATTCTTTATCCCTTATAGTGTAGTGCCGAGAGATAGGGAGTCGGAGGCGGTGCAATGGAGGTACAAAGCTTGCTTTAATGAGCAGCAGAAATGTAGATGTTGTTGGGTCGCAGCCCGGGACGACAAGAGAAAGAGCCAGGAGGGCACACAACATATATAGATAACAACACATATATGTCCGTGTGGAAACAATAGCCCCAACTGTAGTTCCATGTATGAATTATGTCCCAGTGTATTAATAGGTGGTCACCACACAAGCCCCCCCAGAATTCAAACATGGCAAAAAAATCCTCGCGTCCGTGGAGGAAGCACCACAGGGGCCGAGGAGGGTGGGGCCGCAGGTGAGGACCGGGCCATGGAACGGGCCGTCGGAAGGGGGGCGCAGTAGGCGTCGTGGCGAATGAAGTCATCACCCGCCAGTCGGTGAAAGCCGGGTCGCTGAGTCGCGACGGGCGTCAACAACCCGGTGGTCCCCAGCAGGAAGGAGAGCTGACCGGCCGCAGGCGAGGGCACAGCGGCGGCGGGCATGAAGTCCTCGGGAGGAAGGAGCGCAACCCGGCCGCAGGCAGAGGTGCAACGGCGGCGGGCACGAAGTCCTCGGCAGGCGTCGAGGCATCCCCGGGAAGCAGGAGAGCAACCCGGCCGCAGGCAGACGTGCCGCGGCGGCGGGCATGAAGTCCTCAGCAGATGTCGAGGCATCCCCGGGAAGCAGGAGAGGCCAGACAGGGTCCCGGAGCGCGCCACCCATGGGCCGATGGAGCATGGGCGACGTCCGGAACTGTCGAGGCGAGAGGGGGTCCAGGAGTGCGCCACCCAGGCACCGATGAACGTGAGTGGCGTCTGGAACCGCCGTGAAGGTGGTGAAAAATGTGAGAGTGTCCACCTGAGGTCAACCGGCTGGTTGAACCTCCTCTCCGGCACCAGAAGGAAAAAAAAAAACTCAAAAGGGTCGATAGCCGTTAGCTGTTGCCGTTAGCTGGCAGCCACCGGTAGCTGCTAGCCGTAGTTAGCCAACGTGGTTAGCTGCTAGTTGTCGTTAGCTAGCGCAGCTGGGACGTGCAGCCGCACGCCCCGAAGAAACAACCCCACGAGGTAGCAATCGGGTTCATCCCTACCCAGCAGGTCGTGCATCGTCCCCCCTGTAGTCGGAAGGCAGATGCGGGAATGGCGAGCAACATCCTCAGCCATTCCACGAGGCGCGCACCGAGCCTCCGTCCGCGTGCCTGTAGCAGCTACGGTCGACTCCAAAAAATCCCCGGCATTTCGAGAAAGAAACCTGGGTTTCCTTTGCCGTGTTCGGGTCCGTCTCGGAAACTTCCCAAGATCACGTCGGGGTCACCAATGTAGTGCCGAGAGATAGGGAGTCGGAGGCGGTGCAATGGAGGTACAAAGCTTGCTTTAATGAGCAGCAGAAATGTATATGTTGTTGGGTCGCAGCCCGGGACGACAAGAGAAAGAGCCAGGAGGGCACACAACATATATAGATAACAACACATATATGTCCGTGTGGAAACAATAGCCCCAACTGTAGTTCCATGTATGAATTATGTCCCAGTGTATTAATAGGTGGTCACCACAATAGTCTCATTCGGTCTATTACTACGTAAAGCACAGGGCACTTGGTGCATTTCTTTTATGGATGTTGCTCCACAAAGGTTTTTTAAAGTTATTTTATTCCTTATAATGGCAGATTCTTGCTTCATAGCGTATATTAGTGACTAAAAGCACTGACTGTATGATTTAATAAGCCCTCTGCGTCTTCATACTTTTCAAACAGACAGTTCAAATTCAGAGTTTGAGTCGTTTGAGCAGAACAGTGTATTACTTTTCAAAATAAAAGACGTATCAGGTAAATGTAACACCGACGTGACCATTTTGATCATTATTTTTGCTCTCACAGTGATACATTAATACCAAACTAAATACATGAGATCATACAATTCATGAAAACATGTCTTTATTTAAAAAGTGGACGAAGTTCCCTTCCCAGGGAAACTATTGTGACAGCCGTCTCGCCCTGCTGAACGCTTTTTCCGGTCCGCCGTCAAAAATACCGGAAACACTTCTTGCGGAACCACTTGGTGTCACCTCGCCTGTTGTCCGGACAGAGCCGCCTGTCTTGTCGCCGCTCAGACTCGGAGACTCCGGGGAATGCTGCCGCAGAGATGGAGTTGAATCACAAAAACAACAAAGTGTCGGACAGAGTTTGAGACAAAGGGAGCAAAGCGTCAGTTTTCCGGCTGATGGATATTTGTTGAATACAACCCAGGCGTACCATTTAAACAATTGGTTTGAAAATGAAGCTGCTGAAGCCGAGCTGGGTGAGCCACAACGGTAAGCTTGTGCAGGAATCTGTTGGACCAAGTTGGGCTTTTGTTGTCGGTAGGGGGGTGATAAGGAGGCATGATGGTGGTGGTCGAGGCTAGTTGGAATTGTTTGTCACTTAATATTTGCACCAATACTAAACTTAATCCCACAGCTGCAAACACACATTTGGTGTTTTTGACACTATTCCTATCCCTCCTCGCTGGTTTAAATGTATACATGTTTTCTTACATTAGCCATCTAGCTAGCTAGCTAGTTAGCCCCCTGGCTAACTCGGATGCCCATACGCTAGCTAATTTAACGTTACCTGCCAAATGACCCATGTCAAACTCTTAAAGTGACTTCTTGCTTAAAAGCTTTGAGGAGATTTTTTTTTAAGCAACCACCAATTATTTTAGTAACAGTGAACAAACTCGACCTGCAGCTTAAAAAGTGATTACCCAAGCTGTCAGTGTTTGAAAGTTAAGCTTTGGGGAATTGGCCTGAATGTAGGGTGCAGCTAACGATTAATGTCATTAGAGTCAAGCTATTAACTTTTAAGATCATTATTTTGTTCTGTAAAACATCCTAAACATTTGTAAGTGTGTATTACAAAATTCCAGAAAACTAATGGGCTACCTTTATATTTATTTATATATATATATATATATGGTCCTTAGTGCCATGTACATTTTCGAATTCATTTATTTTAACCTCCAACCACCGGAATTTGTTATGGTAGTCAAGAAAACAAAACAATTCCAACAACATTTATCCTCCCTCATCAAAGCCACGGTACTGCAACTGAGGCTAAACTTCAAGGTTGATGAGGGAGGGGTAAATGTTGTCAGATTGAGGAAAACATTCACCAGGAGAGTTTTCTTGACTAATAGAATGAATTCTGGGGGTTGGAGCTTAGACTTTCCGACTTTCAGACTTTCAATTTTAAGGACCACCCTAATATATATATTTGTGTGTATCTTATCTAACGGCCTACAACTGACATGGGTTAACAGATGCAAACGGCAGGACTCTGGATTTTGTTTAGTTGATAATGCATTTCAGTACTGATGTACGTTGACACTCATCAAACTTATTTTAAGGGGGTCCTAAGACACATACAAATACACTTTGATAGATGATAAAGGGAAAAAACAAATTTGAAATGTGTATAAAAATAATTTTCTGTATATGACTTAATCTGCTGATGGAATAATAATGTTTTCACTCAAACTGAAACAATTACTTGACTCATCGATTAGTCGTTACACAGATTTTTCAATTATTTTAGAATCATGTTCAACAGATACGGAACAATTATGCATTTTAATGTATTGTTTATATCTTTTGGACTAACAAACAATACATTAAAATGCGCAACCTTGGACTTGAGAACACATTGGAGTGACATTGCAGCACTACTTGCCACTGTTTATTAGACCTTCTTAATGCTCATCTGGTAATTATAGTTCATACAACTTGTAACATGTTTATTTTTAAGGAACATTTAATCTATTATCCGAGTAATGTCAGAGGATTACAAAAATCTCAAAGATTGGAAGGTTGTATATAAAATAAATACTGTACAGGAATAAAATACTGCTTAATGTCATAATACATAATTATGTGGAATGCAAACCGATGATGAATGCTTTAAAGTCATAAAAGCACTTCACAGAGTTCAGTCTTGTGGCCTGTGGGGTAACACTTTCCCTCAGCCTGGTGGTTTTCAGAATCAGAAATCCTTTATTTGTCCCAAAGCAGCGAAATGTTCAGTCTTACAGCAAAGGTGGCATAGCAGGTAAAAAATGCTTGCAATAATAAGGAATAAACTAACTTATTAAATATAGAGAAGAAAATAAGGATAAAAAGTACAGAGTCATGGCCAAAAATGATGAGCAGTAACTAAAATAAAGTAGTGACTAGGGATGGGTATCGTTAGGATTTGATCGATACCGGTACTGCTTATCGGTATCGGTATTTTTAGATACTCTTATCGATACTTTTCAATAATTTGCTCAAAATTATAGACATGAATACAAGATGTGAAGATTTTTATCTTCACATCTTTATTGTAATTTTCTTGCAGAAATAACTGTATAACTTATACATTAGCTTCTCAGAAGCAGACTAAATCAAATAACTTAAAGGGGCCTGACTCGCCCTATCATGCTTTTTGGGGTTTTCCCTGAGGATGAAAAGAGGCATGTAACATTTTTTTTTTATAACATTTGTAAATCAGTTACATCTTCATCCAGACATTTCAAACTGACAACCTAGCTCGACAAGAGATCCTTAAAACATTGTCCTACAGTGACATCATGCAAAACTGTGATATGAAGAAATTGGTAAAAAGGCTAAGATGGCAAAAAGATAAAGGCGAGTAGGCCTACGTATATTATTCTGGATTGTACTTTTAAATCATCACAAAATAAATGATGTGCTGAACTGAAACACGTCAAAATGTGTCTGAAGGTTTAAACATAGAACAAAGTATTTGAGCTTAAAATATGTCAATTCCTAGTAAATGACCAACAATTGCTGAACCATACATTGAAACGTTGACCTTTAACAACATTTAAATGCAGTTTTCCTATTCACAATGACATATGTAAGTTTAACTGGTTTATAAAGCATTCAATGAAAGGCCAAATTATTATAGGTGTAGGAGCTCACATTAATACACTGTCAGTGTTAATAAACTAAAAAAAGACAAGGCGATGTGCCTGCAAGACTGCACTCAGGTAAATAAAACATATTACCCATGCGCAGCAGCTAACCTGCCTGCGAGCCTTCGCTCAGGTCACATTTACACACGGCACGGCTGAAGCCCACGGAAACGGCATCGATAGTTGCCGACAGTTTAGTATTTTTAAAATACCGTTACATTTGTCACTATTAGCACTAGCAGTATCGCTAGCAGCCACATTGTTTAGGCTGTCAAATACGCTGCACCGTTTTAGATTCAATGAGTGTCTCGTTTGCAAATGCTTCATTAAGTTGCTTGTGTTACCCCCTTTACAAGCAACTAATTGAGTACATAGATTGCACCTTGCACTATCTCCACTACATTTGTTAAAGTGCACCCAGACCTTCGATCGCTTCGCTCTCTCCGCCATGCCTGCGGGAGTCTCACAACAATAATAAGAGCGCTGTTGAGAGAGATGACGAGTGGCATTAACAGTGGCCAATCAGAGGGGTCTCAAACCGGATACATCACACGGGATGAGGGTTCCCAACCAACCAGAATGGTTTAAAGTTAAACTAAGGAAGTAGACGTAACACATATACCGATAGCAGCACCGTTTGTCTAGCGGCTTAACGGTATACCGATACCGTCCAATCAGGTACCGGTATTGACTTAGTACCGGTTCTCGATACCCATCCCTAGTCCTCTGTGTTTTCTCAAGTCAACGCAGATGTCTCCCAGGACATTTTAGAGCACTTCATGCTTCCTTCTTCTGACAAGCTTCATGGAGATGCTGATTTCATTTTCCAGCAAGACTTGGCACCTGCCCACACTGCAAAAAGTACATAAACCTGGTTCTAGGATCATGGAATTACTGTTTGATTGGCCAGCAAACTCGCCTGACCTGAACCCTATAGAGAATCTATGGGGTATTGTCAAGAGGAAGATGAGACACGAGACCCAACAACGTAGACGAGCTGAAGGCCACTATTGAAGCAACCTGGGCTTCCATCACAACTAGGGGTCTGGCCGATATTTCGCATTTGACCGATTATCGGTATCGGCCTTTTTTTTAATCAAATTGCCGATAAAACTTTGGCTGTGATGCGGCCGTTTCTCTGGCTGCAGTCACCACTCTCTGTACACGAGCAATGTCCCGCCTACAGCGCTATCTGATAGGCTATTACTGAAGTGTCAATCAACACTGAAGATTTTCCAGGCGGGAGCCAGCCAGAGAGGCGGGACCTTCTCAGATTACAGGCAGGTGCGAAAGAACACAGACAGAGGCAACCAGCAGCGCTGAGCGGCAGAGCCATACATGTGTTTCGAAGGTAAGTCAGTTGAAAGCCGAAGCTCAATAAACATCCCAATCCCCTATGCTGAAGTTGCAAAAACACCACGATCTTATGATCCAATTCTATCAGTTTCCCAGTTACACAGGGACGCGGGAAGTCAGTCAGAGTTGGGGGTGCGTGCAGCGGAGTAACTGTGGGGGGGCGGGGGCTGCGAGTGGAGCCTCCCAGTTTTTCAGGTTGATATGTGAAGCTCATTAGCTAGCCAACATGTATCTAGCAAATGTTTAGCAAAATATTAGAAGTGAGGCTACTAGACTAACGTTAGGTCTACTGTAATAGCCTCACTTTTAATATTTTGCAAAACATTAGCTAGCACTAGTGTTTTGCAGTTGCTAGCAGCTTATTGGGATTTTATGCTAGATAGACAGGCATTGTTTTGATATAATTAGTTAAGCATGTCAGCCTGCAGCCCCACTTTTAACTCTCTGTCTCTCTCTATCTCATTGCAGATGGCTGCACTAAAGAAAAGGGCACAGAGAGGAACCAGTTGTAAGATGTTTAAAAGTTCATTAAACATAATATATGCTTAAATGCATTTCAAAGAAGTTGTGTTGGAGTTTGTGTTATTCTACATTTTTTGACACCAAGATTTTCTGATTTTACTGCAAATGTATATCGGTTCCAAATATCGGTTATCGGTCTCCTTGATTACTAATTATCGGTATCGGCTTTGAAAAAGCCATATCGGTCGATCCCTAATCACAACCATCCATTTAGCAACCAGTAATGTTACATTAGTTAGTTAACAAGTACATTGCCTATAGCTGATGTCATTTAATCGAATAATTTTATATTTGAACTAAGTCTTAATGGTTCTGTTATAAAAAGCACATTTGTTTAATTGATCAACAAAAGTAAGCTGTATAGATTGATTCTTAACACTATTAGGTCACCAATTTTGATATCTAGCTTTGGTTTATAACCGTTTTATATTCATCCTTCTTTCCCTAAACCAGTCCAGATGATGTTCTACTTACCACCAGGGCAGAACCTTCAGGTCCAGCAGCACCATGATTTCTATACTGACTGTCTAACTATACAAATATATATTTTCTATGGCCTATGTATTTTGTATTAATATAATCAAACTGAATTTGACACTGTTTAATTACCTAGATACAGTGGGGCAAAAAAGTAGTTAGTCAGCCACCAATTGTGCAAGTTCTCCCACTTAAAAAGATGAGAGAGGCCTGTAATTTTCATCCTAGGTATACTTCAACTATGAGAGACAAAATGAGAAAAGAAAATCACATTGTCTGATTTTTAAAGAATTTATTTGCAAATTATGGTGGAAAATAAGTATTTGGTCAATAACAAAAGTTAATCTCAATACTTTGTTATATACCCTTTGTTGGCAATGACAGAGGTCAAACGTTTTCTGTAAGTCTTCACAAGGTTTTCACACACTGTTGCTGGTATTTTGGCCCATTCCTCCATGCAGATCTCCTCTAGAGCAGTGATGTTTTGGGGCTGTCGCTGGGCAACACGGACTTTCAACTCCCTCCAAAGATTTTCTATGGGGTTGAGATCTGGAGACTGGCTAGGCCATTCCAGGACCTTGAAATGCTTCTTACGAAGCCACTCCTTCGTTGCCCGGGCGGTGTGTTTGGGATCATTGTCATGCTGAAAGACCCAGCCACGTTTCATCTTCAATGCCCTTGCTGATGGAAGGAGGTTGTCACTCAATATCTCATGATACATGGCCCCATTCATTCTTTCCTTTACACGGATCAGTCGTCCTGGTCCCTTTGCAGAAAAACAGCCCCAAAGCATGAGGTTTCCACCCCCATGTTTCACAGTAGGTATGGTGGTCTTTGGATGCAACTCAGCATTCTTTCTCCTCCAAACACGTCTAGTTGAGTTTTTACCAAAAAGTTCTATTTTGGTTTCATCTAACCATATGACATTCTCCCAATCCTCTTCTGGATCATCTAAATACTCTCTAGCAAACTTCAGACGGGCCTGGACATGTACTGGCTTAAGCAGGGGGACACGTCTGGCACTGCAGGATTTGAGTCCCTGGCGGCGTAGTGTGTTACTGATGGTAGCCTTTGTTACTTTGGTCCCAGCTCTCTGCAGGTCATTGACTAGGTCCCCCCGTGTGGTTCTGGGATTTTTGCTCACCGTTCTTGTGATCATTTTGACCCCACGGGGTGAGATCTTGCGTGGAGCCCCAGATCGAGGGAGATTATCAGTGGTCTTGTATGTCTTCCATTTTCTAATAATTGCTCCCACAGTTGATTTCTTCACACCAAGCTGCTTACCTATTGCAGATTCAGTCTTCCCAGCCTGGTGCAGGTCTACAATTTTGTTTCTGGTGTCCTTTGACAGCTCTTTGGTCTTGGCCATAGTGGAGTTTGGAGTGTGACTGTTTGAGGTTGTGGACAGGTGTCTTTTATACTGATAACGAGTTCAAACAGGTGCCATTAATACAGTTAACAAGTGGAGGACAGAGGAGGCTCTTAAAGAAGAAGTTACAGGTCTATGAGAGCCAGAAATCTTGTTTGGTTGTAGGTGACCAAATACTTATTTTACCGAGGAATTTACCAATTAATTCATTAAAAATCCTACAATGTGATTTCCTGGATTCTTTCCCCCCATTCTGTCTCTCATAGTTGAAGTGTACCTAGGATGAAAATTACAGGCCTCTCGTCTTTTTAAGAGGGAGAACTTGCACAATTGGTGGCTGACTAAATACTTTTTTGCCCCACTGTATATCATATTATTCCAATGCTTATGTACTTCATGTTGTAAATAATGGTTAAGACCTCAGTAAATGAAATAAACAATGTATTTAATAATAATATTTTGCTTTAATTTTTTTATTTTCATCTAATCACAAAGCAGAGGTAAGAATATATCCATCACTTCTCTGCAGCTTCATGTCTTCTATTATGAGCCGCATGGAATACTTTCATTTCTAAGAAATAGGAAATCAGTCATGTCATTTAACATCAACAGCAGTAAAACAAATATTGTGTTTATGTGTGCAACAAGTAAAGAGAAGCTGCTGTTAATAAATATGTGGAATTCAGACAGACTCAAGCAATGCTTATTAAATATATATGAAAATAAAGGACACAAATTAAATTAAATTCTGAAACTAAGATGCAATATAGTGCAAGATAAAGGGGTAAAATATATACTACCACAATTTAAATTAAATAATATAAATGTGTCAACACTGTATTGCAAATACATAAACTGTTTACAGCAATATAATAAATATATATATATATTTATTATATATATATATATATATATATATATATATATATATATATATATATATATATATATGCATAATGAGAAGTACTGTATTGCACACAGTTGTGATCGTTTAAAAAAAATTAAAGATAAAAAAATCTTTTTTTAAGGCTAAAGTGACAGAAGTGATGAGCTCTAGAGTTCTCTGCTGCTGAGACCGGACCGCCATTTATTTCGAAAAAAGACTCGCTTGTCACGCGCGCTATGCATCCTGGGATATGGTAGGCCGCGAAGGATACATCAGATTTGTCCTCCAAATCCGGGAAAAGAAGGATGCATTCATCGTCCGCATTCGTCAGAGTCTGGCCTTGTCTTTGAATTGGGACAGCCTTCTCTCGACGGAAGTGATGTAAGAGAGAATCATTGCGAAAGGGAATGCAGCAAAATAATCTTTATTTCGATTACATTGTTGTCGTAATCGTTGCAAACCAAAATCGTAATCAAGATTCAAATGCGATTAATTGCAAAGCCCTACTGTACATTGAAAACCGAGTTTCATCAATGAGCAAGCAATTCACGGGCAACAGCTCTGGTGGACATAACTGCAGTCGGCATGCCAATTGCATGCTCCTCAAATCTTGCGACATCATAGAGTGCCACAGTGACGCGTCCTAAAACCCGGAAGTAAGTTAGCATTTTTCACTTCCGGTTCCTTCGACAAAAACCAATGCAATTTCTCCATAGGATTTTGGAAAATAGCTCGAAATAAGGTCTGTGGTTGACACAAATTGAAGAGACGGATCACGTTTTGTTCAGCCGGATAATATCCACATGTCTACCCTACTTTTATAATTTGCGAATCATAAATCTAATCGATAGATTTATGATCGATAGATTTATGATTAGAAAATGTTAGGACGCGTCACTGTGGCACTCTATTGTGCTGTGTCATGAAACTGCTGTATTGTGACCAGCCTAAGGCAAGGCACACCTGTGCAATACAGTGCAGTGGATGGATTATCTTGGCAAAGGAGAAGTGTTCACTAACACAGATTTAAACAAATTTGTGAACAATATTTGAGAGCAATAGACATTTTGTGTACATAGAAAATGTCTTGGATCTTTGATTTCAGCTCATGAAAAATGGGAGCAAAAAAAAGCGTTTATATTGAGCTAAAAGTTAGCACAGGGATTTAGTGGTGTAAAGTAACTAAGAACATTTACTCAGGTACTGTACTTAAGTACAATTTTGAGGGACTTGTACTTTACTTAGGTTTACCATTTTATGCTACTTTGTACTTCTACTTAAGAGGTAAATACTGTACATTTATGTAATACCTTTAATTACTTTGCAGATTTGGATTAATGATGGGAAATATAATCAACACTTAAATCAGACTTTACTTACACCTGGATTCAATTCACATGTTACCCAGCAGTAAATGAAGCAATTCAAAGTTCCAACAGCTCCGATAAACACATCCAAACATCAATAATTATCATCAAAACACATAATATAAATGATTGTGAAATTGGCAAATGTGCATAACGAGTTTACTTGATGTACTATAAGTATATTTTGATGCCAATACTTTTGTACTTTTACTTGAGAAATATTTTGAATACAGGACTTTTACTTAAGAAGTATTCCTACACGTATTTATGATTATACTTAAGTGCTAGATGTGAGTATTTCATCCACCACTGGTTCCACATCACAACTTAATTGCTTATCTATCTACAGATTCAGTCTAAAGTATCTGTTAAACTGTGTCTATGAATCTATACAAAATGTGATAAATATCATTAAATGTAGACATTCGTTGTGTTTTACAGGCAAGCCCATATTTTCCGTTGACATCCACCCTGATGGGACAAAATTTGCAACCGGGGGCCAAGGTAAGACCCTTACCTGTTCACATCCTCTGGCGCTGAAGTTGATTTCTTTAGATTTTTGTCTTTAGATGGTGTCCAATACTTGGAAGTGTACTGTGTTTTTGAATCTATGACTACATACTAAAAGTTCGCCTGCAGACTACAGTCTATAGGATTAAAAAAAATTAAACACAAAGATACATAAAGTCAACAATGTATGTGTTTTCATATTGGATTTGTTTTCAGGAGAGGATTCGGGCAAGGTGATGATCTGGAACATGGCGCCAGTCCTTAGAGAGGAGGATGAGAAGAATGAGAATATTCCCAAAATGCTTTGCCAGATGGACAATCACCTAGGTAACCAGCCTTACCACTATTCGCTTTCCAGTTGATTCTAATAGAGTGGTGCCGAGTCCTAAAACCCGGAAATAACTTTGTTCTCTGACATAATAGACTGCATTAATTACGCCTCTCACGAATATCCAAAGTTTTTATGTGTCATTTAAACGGCGGTTGCTAACAAGTGACTAAAGTACAAAACGTCATCATGCAACACAACATCGCCTTTAGCTTAGCGGTGGTGATGCACACCATGCGACCGTGATGTAGTTGGTTTATACCCTAGCTTTATCTTTTTACTTCTGGCGATTGCAATTACGCTTTAAAAATCACATGGTGGCATTAAAATGTAGAGTTTATCCCACTGAAGAAAACGTTTTAGGCATCTTAAACATGTGCTTGCCAAAGCGCTTTTATTCTGAATTATACCGCAATCCAATCCGGTAATCCCACTGCTTTTTTCCATAAACTTGTGCTTTTAGGATACTCATTATTATACTTTGAACGACACTTGTAACCACAAATTCGAAAAACACAGTTACAGCTTCTATAGTGAAAAATATTAACAGCCAAGACCGAGGTATGGTTTTTTAAGATTGCTTTAAGCGCTACCCATCGGTCCGAAAAAGCCAAGCTATACTCCCCCTTTAGATCTGCACTAACGACAGGACCATTTTAAAATACAAATAAATATTGTTGTTAGAGATGACAACATAACAACAGGATTCACCGTATGAGTACTACAAGTCACTTAAAGGTGGGGTAGGTAAGTTTGAGAAACCGGCTCGAGATACACTTTTTGTTATATTCCATGGAATGCTCTTAACATCCCGATAGCAATGAATATCTGAAGTGCTTTGACAAAAAATCCATAAAAAAATGCATCTGTGGAAGCCGTGGCGCTGTAAAAAGCACGACCAATAATCTGAGCCGGCTAAAATAACTGGATGGCCTACCTGCCGGTCAGCCTTCCATCTGTGCACAAACTTATCTCGTGGCCTCATTGGTCATGTGTGTGTTGGAGGAGGGGCTCTGTAAGGAAGTAGCAGATTTCTTCCGGCTGTGTATTTTCAAATTCTAGCGCACTCCAGCTGGTTTCTCCAAAATTACATTGAAGTGTTTCTTAGACTCTTTGGATAAAAGTGTCAGTTAAATTACATTTAATGTAATGTAGTGTAGCTGCTGGGTCGGTCTATAAAAATAAGACATCACACTATAAGGGTTTGAATCTTTTTCTGTTTTTATTCACCACTGAATACTATTGCTGCTCTGAGTGCAGCAGCAGCAGCAGACTGTGTTCATACTTGTGGGGTTGTGTTCCATATAAATGTGCAAGCAGTTAGATTTAATAATAGGACATTCTTGCAGGCCCTATTAATGCCCACTATAAAGGACTGCCTCGTCAGCACAAATCCCGACAAGTTAAAGGGGACCTGTCATGCAAAATGCCCTTTTGTACGTCTTTTTTACATGAATGTGTCCCTGGTGTGTCATGGAACTCACCAATACCTCATTCACACCAACGGTGTTTCAGGGCCGGTTCGGAGCTGGAGCTTGAAAAGCACCGGGTTTTCCTGTTCACACCGCAGCGGAGCAGCCTCTTAGCTCCGGAATCCGGTTCCTTTCGAGCACCAAAAAATTGTCCGGTCAGAGCAAAAGCACCGCATACGTCACGCTTACGTCGAGGCAGTGGCGGGATCAACTCCTGAACAACAACAAAAAGCCTGTGTTTTATCCAGTTTGTACACAACGATGGAGAAACTTAACAAGCAGCAGTGGTCCACTGAAGAGACCAGCTACCTACTGGGAATCTGGTCTTCCGAAGAGGTACAGAGGAAGCTGGAGCACAATCGGCCATTGTTGTTGTTATCGGTGTGAGCTGTGAGGGGTTTCCACGCGGTTTGGCTTTATGAAGCAGACACGCAAACGGTTACGTCATGACGCAAACAATGACGCAATGACGCAGCACCAGTTGGACTCTGGGCAGTGTGAAAAGAGCCGGAGCTAAACCGAAGAACCGGTTCTGAACCTGAAAAGCTCTAGCACGGAGCTTGAACCGGAGTTGCGTTGGTGTGAATGAGGAAGTGTCAGAAAACACAACCCTCTCTCTTTTCCTCCATAGCCAAATCTCTAAAAACGGGGCTGCAACGGAGCTGATACAGATTTGAATTGTTCTGACGTCAGAAAAGGGGTGCTCCGCCTATATGGGTAACTGTCCACCTATCCGTGCGGCAGAGTTTCAGTTAGATTTTTTTTGCCGGTCAACATGTCCGTTAAAGTTTAAATCTTCCGGACAAAATTAGAAAAGTGCCGGTCAAAGGTCCTCTTTGTTATTTATTGAGCTTTAAAACAAATAAATAATAATCATATAAGAATAATAGGACGGAGCCTCTCTTTTCCTCCCCCTCTTCTGAGAGCCCAGCAGCTGATCAGAGCAGCTACCCTCTCCTGCAGGGGGGCGTGGTCAGCTGCAGCTCATTTGCACTAAAGCTACGTCACAGAATCAGCCCTTGCAAAAACAGGGCTGGAAAGAGCAAATAGAGCGAAATGAGGCATGGCTAAAATGCATGATCTGTTTGGTATTTTGAAAAAAATACTAAACAGACATGTTTTATATAGGTATGGCCCTACAATATATGTTTCAAATATAGCATGATAGGTCCACTTTAAATTTACAACCGAGTGTTTGTGTGTCTCTGCAGCTTGTGTGAACTGTGTGCGCTGGTCCAACAACGGGCTGTACCTGGCATCAGGAGGAGACGACAAGCTGGTCATGGTGTGGAAGAGAGCTGCGTATGTACACACACACACACACACACACATACACATACACATACACATACACATACACATACACATACACATACACATACATATATATATATATATATATATATATATATACACACACACACGCGAGTAAATACAGATGATGTTCTTGCTGTTACAGGTTCAATCTTAGATATGTTTAAAGTATTTCTTAACCACATACCCCTTTTTTTTGGGGGTAATTAAATGTAAAGACCTGTGACGTCAGTGTTTTTCAAATCAATAATATTAATAATCTATAAAGAATTGTCAATTGTTCGTTGTATTTCTCTAGGTAAATACTAGCTTATCCTATAAATTGGAAGGATAAATAAAAGGATCTTTAAATTAGATGTAACGAAACGTGTGTTGTATGTAATGTATTTATCACCTTTCATAAGCGGGTTAGAAAGTGCTTCAGCAATAACAAAATAACCTCAACCCCCATTATAAAACACACATCCAACAAAGTTAACACAAGAAAGTGATTTCATAAAAATATGATTTTAGTAGGGATTTAAAAGAAATCCGTGAGGCCATATTGACACTGTGTGTTTTACTATGTAGATTCATCGGTCCGAGCACAGTGTTCGGGTCGAGCAGTAAGCTGGCCAACGTGGAGCAGTGGAGGTGTGTCACCATCCTGAGGAACCACACCGGAGGTAATACACAAAACACAATTAAATATATGTACTCGAACACAATACTTCCAAAAATGCATTAAATAATTGAAGCAAGCGGCGAAAACCCACAGTAACACAAAATAAACCACATTAAGACACATCACAGACCTTCTGTATTACTTACTGATATCTTAACTGTTGTGCTGCTGCTAGATATTCCCGGCCTCTGTTAGAAGGTGTAGGTGACCGACGGATGATGAAGAATGGCTGTCCATAGTCTGTTACCAACTGTATTAATTCTTCAGTATGAAGAGTAGGAAATGAACATGTAGAATATGTGTGGTAACTGTAATGCAAAGATAAAGCAGGGGAAAAAAATACCTTTTTATAGTAAGGGGATGGCAAGTAGCAATGTTTTGGGTTTTCCACCTCAACACACAGTAAATCAGATGAGTGAAAAGCACAATCAGCTGGCCTATGCTGCCCTCTATTGGCCACAGGCCGATATAGAATAGCGGTGTAAATGTAGGATTATTACCCATTACCAATGGTCATTAACTCACAAGTAATCACACATAATCAAATAAGAAAAATGTAGTCTATGGAATGACGAAAATGTGTGAACAAAAATTGGCTCTGCACTTAACTTAGCTGTACGTTATGCAAGCAAAATAATATAAGTGAACATGTTGAGTCCACTCCCCGTGTTGCCTCGTGGTCTGCATGGCTAGCTTAGTGGCTGTTGCTAACTGCCATATGTTGCACAGTAAGTGCTGTATATAGAACATAAATTCACCAACAACTCAACTGAAGTGTCAATATAAAAATGTATTTTGCCATGAACGCAAACGCATGTCCACAAGACAAAAAACAAAGCTAGTGACTCTCAGTCAACAGTCCGACACTGCATGTATTTGCAATCCAGTACTTAACAGGTGGATGAGTCCATTAATGCTTCTGCAATGGAGATAATGTGGAAAAGTCCAAGTTTCTGGAACAGCGGGGGGTTTATACAGTGTGTGTGTTTTTGTTTATAGATGTGATGGACGTGGCGTGGTCTCCTCATGACGTGTGGCTGGCCTCCTGCAGCGTGGACAACACCATCGTCATCTGGAACGCTCGCAAATTTCCAGGTAGGACAATTCCCAGAGCTAACCCTGTCTGCAGCCTCAAAGCTGGAAACAATTTCTTTATTTTTAGGATAATAAAAAGAAAACATGTTCCACAGAGCAGGAAGACTTTTCCCTTATTCTTGTCTGTCTTCTGTGTGTCCCCAGAGATGGTGACATGTCTGCGAGGACACACTGGGCTGGTTAAAGGTCTGACGTGGGACCCGGTGGGGAAATACATCGCCTCTCAGGCCGACGACCACAGCCTCAGAGTGTGGAGGACAATGGACTGGCAGATGGAGGCCAACGTCACCAAACCCTTCAGCGAGGTACAGAAACTTGTGAGCTGTGTGTGATGGTGTTGTTGGAGCAGGTGGTTGACTATGAAAGGTGTACCTTACAACTTATTAACTTGGTTTTTATTTCTGTTTAATTATACAAATAACTATGCCCACTTTTCGCAAAAGTGTTTTGAATTTTCATTCGGCTGTATCTACGAACTAATTCATTGGATGAAAACCTCAAACTTTATTTCCCAAATATGATATTTGATAATAGCAGGAAACCTAGGGGAAACACTGGAGTGTGTCACTGCCAGTTTGGGAACCCAAAATCCACCCACAGCACAGTCTTAATCCCTAGATTGACACCACCTTTATGATATTTGAAGCGTAAGTGCACCAGAATAAAAGGCTAACGCTAGCCTATAAACAAACTATATCACAGTTGCATGGCTGCGAATCACCACTATTAAGCTAAAGGCGGTTAGTGTTCAGCATGATAAAGTTTAGAAGTCTCAATCAGTTACTTGTTAGCAACCTCTTTTTTTGATCACACGGAAGCTTCACACATTCACCGGTGGGGTATTTACTGACATATTTAATGTCGTAGAACAAAACGTGAACATTTCTACAGCTTGTGTTAAACACAGATCTTATTTCAGGTATCCAAAAAAAAAATACTAACTAATTTCCAGGTTTAAGGACTCATTCCTGCACCACTCTATCACATAGAAACACACTCTATTTTTGTATGTAAGTGTTTACCCAATTTGCCTCGTCTGTGCATTCATACACACCCACAGTTCACCAATGAGGGTTTGAATAATTTTCTCTGGTCTCTCTCTGTGTGTCAGTGTGGTGGGACGACCCACGTCCTGCGTCTGTCCTGGTCTCCAGACGGTCAGTATCTGGTGTCGGCTCACGCCATGAACAACTCCGGTCCCACCGCTCAGATTGTGGAGAGAGATGGCTGGAAAACGAATATGGACTTCGTCGGCCACCGTAAAGCTGTCACAGTGGTGGTAAGAACGTTTTAGCCACATTATCAGACTTTTAAATGTAAATAAATCGTATCTGCTACTTGAAAATATTTGGTTTCTTTCTCTGTAGAAATTTAACCCAAAGATCTTTAAGAAGAAGCAGAAAAACGGCAGCGCTCAAAAACCCGGGTGTCCGTACTGCTGCTGCGCTGTTGGCAGCAAAGACCGGTCGCTCTCCGTCTGGGTATGTTCACACTTTGGTTAATGTTATAAAATGGCAATATGTTTAAATCGGTATCAGGGATGCAGGTTCCTCAGTCAAGCTACAGATATTTCGGCTTGCTTTTGTCTAGAGCACAATTAATAGATGATTTTTACCCAATTTGCAGTATGAGCAATATTTGGCAAAGGGAAAATATGATTTTTAAATTACAACTGTGGTGTTGCAGGGAAGTCCCGGTCTAAACACAGCACCCCACAGATCCTCTTAAAAATCACACCATGTCTTGTCTTTAGTTGGATCCAATGATTAGGAGCATTGTCTACTTTTACTTGGGTCAACACACGTTAAAAAAAAATTAACATTTACACCCTGTTGCCAGATAAACAATAACAAACAAAACAGCTAATGTCATGTTATTAACAGTCAAGTATGGAAGTACGTTGCAAACACGCTAAAACGGCCCAAAACACTTCCATTAAAAGATACGCACTGCAGTTTAAAAAAATGATGCAGATGGGAAAACACAGATGTGCCGAAACACATGCAAGAGCCATCCGTCAACTTGAGGAAACGTTTGCTAAAAGCGCTGCTTAAACAAAACGCTGCAAGAAGCTTAAAACAAAAAGAAAAGGTGGGACGCTAAAAAGTGATGCACACAGCTGGGACCGGAGCGCTTGTTGATGATCTGGGATTATATGGTGGGCCTACTGTCACTGTTGGCAGAGTTAGCTGTTTTGTAATTGTAAGTTTTGTCAGTATATTTAAAATGACTATGTTAGCTACGTTAGCTAGCTAGCTTACATCAGATCTGCAATAAAATCTAAAGGAATCATGCGATCACATTGTTAAACTAAGACAATTAAACTTACATTTTAGGTAGCCTTCAAATGACAGGGTTTAAACAAAATGTATGGACATGCAAGAAAAAAAATCATTAATCATTTCTATATCCATTTAATGAATAAAGCTTCAAACTATTTGGTTCAGCCCTAGTATTTTATTTAAATGATTTTGCAGTATATAGATCCTAAATATGTAAAAGTAACAAGTTAGATTCTAAAGCTTTCTGTCTGATGCTCTTCCTCAGCTGACCTCTCTGAAGCGCCCTCTGGTGGTCATCCATGATCTGTTTGATAAATCGATTATGGACATATCCTGGTGAGTTGGTGTTGTGTTCAAGGGGTCACAGGTTCAAACCCCACTGCAGTCAGCATGTCGTTGTGTCCCTGAGACACTTCACCCCAAAGTGCTCCTGTGGGGATTGTCCACAGTATTGAGTATGTAAGTCGCTTTGGATAAAAGCGTCTTAACAAGTGACATGTAATGTGTGTGTGTGTGTGTGTGTGTGTGTCAGGACTCTGACAGGTCTGGGGATGTTGGTGTGTTCGATGGACGGCACTGTGGCCTACCTGGACTTCTCACTGGATGAACTGGGAGACCCGCTAAACGAGGAGGAGAAGGTTAGACACTCATCATGGAATTACATCTGGCTGCAAACACGAACTTAGTTATTTACCTTAACAGAGTGGTGCAGTCATGACGTATTTTTGTAGGCTGGCTCGCAAACTCATTCCCAGGTTTTAGGACTCATGCTTAATTTATAAACAAAAACAAATAACTTCAATTAATCTAGATTAAGCCTTTGTGGAACTTTGCTGTTTTTTTTCTTTTTCCGTTGACTGTTATAAAAATAAAGTTAAACAAGAAAACATCTTGGTTTTGCCTTAAAATTTAAGTTTTTTTCTATCAAGAGAAGCAAGCTGCTATAATACAAATTTCAGTTCTAGCAGCAGGTTGTAAAAATGGTTTTAAGGGCACCCATAATGCTTTTTGGGGTTTTCCCTTTAACGTATTGTGTTGTACTGTAATGGTCAGTAAAGGCTAAAATCCCAAAGTTCCCTCCAGAGGGAGTTTCTCTCTCTCTCCCACACACACTAGTTGGCTTTTATTAGGACACCCAAAATCAATCAATATAATTTATCAATATGTTTTCTATGCACCAAACAAAAGAAAAATTAACCTGTCCAACCTTGTTACGTCTGCTTTTATTTCCCTTCCTTTCTTTTGTCTCTACTTTGTTCTCTTGTTGGATGCTGTCCTTTCCTCCATCATTCTATCAAGCCCGAATAAGAACAATTTCCTGTCATTTCTCTGACATACAGAACAGCATCCATCAGAACATCTACGGTAAGAGTCTGGCTATAACCAGCACAGAGGCTCAGCTCTCCACCACCATCATCGAGAACCCTGAGATGCTCAAATACCAGCAGGAGCGCCAGAACTCAATCCAGGCCAACTCAGGACTGGGCAGCGCCGGGCCTGAATCCTCGGCCCCTAAACTCAACAGCATGATGAACGGAGAGTCTCTCGAGGACATCAGGAAGGTGGGACACTAGATTTAAACTTCCAACAAGCTGCACAAAGTGTTGAGTTGGTTCAGGATAAAGACTAAGATTTTCATTGAATTCATCTTATCTTTTCTTCATTTGTCTGATTTTCATACAAATATTTTAGAAAAATATATATTCACAAAATCAAGTTTCAGAATCTGCAAAGATTAATAAAATAAAAAAACACTCAATTTCATCTAAATCCTATTTGTATCCAAATCTATTTACAACTTTGGGTTAAAGGGGCCCTATTACATCTTTTGGAGTTTTCTTTGTATGTTAATGAGTCGCAAAGACTACAATCCCAACGTTCCCTCCAGAGGGAGCTTCTCTCCCAAATGTTTATATTTAGATAGACAATACAGAGAGATTAGATAAAGATTATAAAAACGTTTTAGAAATAAAAGATAAATATCAATGACTTTCAGGGCTGTATTTTCAATGGTTGGCAAAATACATATTTTTGGAGCTTACATTTTCTTGGACTTATGTTGTTGTCTTGCAGACCCTCCTGAAGAAACAGGTTGAGACGAGAACTGCAGACGGACGAAGACGAATCACACCGCTCTGCATTGCTCAGCTGGACACCGGGTAGGGAAACGATCGTGTAAACTTAAAGATATACATATATGTATATGTGTGTGTGTGTATATACACACATATATACACACACAATTTATTGTTGAGTAAATGTAGAAACCTTAAGTGCAAAATAAACAATTGAACATTTCCCATTTATGCAAAAATGCTAAACATTTAATAATTAAAATATTTTTTTTTTAAAAAGTGGATGATTGAGTACATTTGTTAAAAATACTAATACTATTGTGGAAATACATTGTCCATTTTGTCAAAGTTATTATTATTATTGTTTAAATCCCTTATGGGCCTCCTCACTGAGAGCTGTACACTCGGCACGTTTAGAAAACATGCAGAGGAGAAAGCTCAGCAAACAGTTTCTCTTTCTGTGCAGGGATTTCTCTCCCGCTCTGTTCAACAGCGCTCCCATCCTGCCGTCGGGCTCCTCCATGTCCAACCAGCTCACCTCCCAGCTCAGCTCAGACTCCAGCCCAGGACAGGCCTCTTCTCTGGGGCTTCGGCCCATCCACGACCCCATGCTCACCTCGCCTCCACCCAACAGCGCCACAAAGGGCCTGGAGGACGGGTACGAGCTTTTTTTTTTCTTTTCTTTTTTTTTTTTTATGTGCTTGTTCAATTCCTAACTGGAAAGCTCGCTCTTTTGAACACATAAATGCAACAAAACAAAACAAATTATCAGTTTATAATGTGATGCTATTGCACTATTTCTTAATGCTCTTTATGTTTTTCATGTTTGTAAAGAACTTTTAATGTGTGTGTGTGTATATATATATATATATATCTATATATATATATATAGATATATATATCAATCATTTAACTTTCCTTGCATTATATGCTGCTTTGGTTATCTCACACACTTTTTCTTCCAGACCCAAAAGCAGAACACTCTATTCATACTTTGAGAACTGGGTTTCTGGTGGCTTCCCCAATCCAGTCTTAACCCTCCTGTCATGTTCTGGTCAAATCTGACCGATTCATTACTTCCATCAATTGTAATAATAACAATAATAATAAATTATATTTCTATAGCGCTTTTCTTAAACACAAAGATGCTTTACATTTGGGAGGGAGGGTAGACAAACAAAACAAAACCAAAAAGAAACAAAACAAAACAGAAAAGTAGTCAGGAGGAAGTTGGTTGAGAGGGGGGGGGGGGCTTATGGATACAGAGTTGAAGAGGTGGGTTTTGAGGCGGGACTGGAACAGGGTGAGGGGCTCAGACTCACGGAGGTCTTGGGGGAGGGAGTTCCAGAGTTTTAAAAAAAATGTTGTTTTTAGTTTTTTACAGAATTGTAAAGTTGTGTTTTACATTTGATTGCTTCGAGGCCTTATGATATCCTCCAAAGTAGGCATTTGAAGATAAAAAGAAAATGCTGATCACAACTTTCATTGAATTGTTTGTGTGTAGTCAACTTGTAACACCTATGATGTTTATTATTTCTGGTCAAAAGCGACTGCCATAGGAAATGAATTGGTAACCCTAGATCAGTGTTTCTCAAACTTTTTCATACCAAGGATCACTTAACCAATAAAAAAACCACTCGCGGACCACCTAACTCCACAAATATCCAAAAACACATCGTTTTTTACGAATCGCCTGAAAATGGTACAAACAAGTGGAAACATGTGGGATGAAGGTGTTTATGTGGGCTATATCATGCAATCGGAAGTGAAACTTAAGCTCGCTCCATTGCGGAGATATTCCCGCGAGAGTGCGGAAAACTTAAATGTATTTATTTATTTCAAATGTGAAATGTTACCAATATACTCACGGACCACTAGGGGGCGCTCACGGACCACCAGTGGTCCGCGGACCACACTTTGAGAAGCACTGCCCTAGATGATATTCCTCCATCAGCTAGTACACACCCACATTTGACACATTGTCTGTGTCTATTCTTTGTAGGTATTCGTGTAAACCTGTACTCTGAGACATGGTTTGCAGCTTATAAGTGTGCTAAATACAATTTGGTGAAGATGAATGTTTTTTGTGCTAATGTAAGAGCAGTTAAAACAGACAACACATCAAAGTAAGGAAGGAGAAACAAACATGACAGGAGGGTTCATGTCTGTTTCCTTGCATTCCAGTCTGAAGTCCAGTCTGCTGCTCACTTCTGCCTCCAAGATCGAGCCGATGAAAGCTTTGGACTCAAGGTTCACAGAGAGGTCAAAGGCCACAACGGGGGTCACAGCCGTCATATCCTCCATCTCTGGACTCATGCCTCTGGACAGGTGATTGACTCAAGTGGTACAGTGTGAGGTTAAAAAAAAGCTCAAAGATGACTTACAAAACAAAATCTTGACTTATTTTTATCGTCAACCAGCAGGCCCAAAGACGGCCTCTCCTCTCTGAAAGACATGAAATCCAAAGACGACACCAGCAGCGACAGCGAAGACAAAATGGCCTCGATCAACAAAAACCTGATGTTGGGCAAGAGGAAACCCGAGCTGCTGATAGATGCAGGAGAGGTGGTGGAGAAGAGGAAGAAGGGACGGCCCAGGAAAGACAAGATGGCTGCACCCACCGCCCAACCATTCACTCAGGTAACGAGATGGAGGGAAAGAGTGAAAAGATTGAGATTACAAATGAACTTGTTAATCAATGAGAACTATGAAAACCATTCATTTCTTTTATAAAAAAAACCATGATTAAACCTTGGAAAAGAGAGAGAATAAACTGAGAGTTCCCTTTTCCTGTCAGATGACTCCCACCGCAGAGCGGGAGCCAAGCAGGGTGGCAGCTCCTCCACCTCCTGTAGCTGCTCTCAAACTGCCAACACCCAGTATAAAGAAGACCTTCAGTCTGCAGGTAATGTGTGTGTGTGTGTGTGAACGAACAGCGTCACTTTAAACTGAATCGTAAGTCTTTGATCTGTACAAATTCTCCGCTCAGGCAATGCTTTATATATAAACTTCAGTCTTCCATAAAGCCGGTATATATCGGAATAATCAGTAGAAGTCCAGTAAAAAATAATATGCTGTAAGCACAATTCAAAGTGTATTCAAAAAAGTATGAATGGACAAGTTGGCATCAATCAATCTATCAAAGTGTATTTATATATCCCAACATCACAAATGTATTTGTCTCGGGGACTTTACAGGTTCAAGGTTCTTTATTTTTGTCATACGAACATAGCTACAGTGCAGTTATGCCGATGAAAATCTTGTGTCACAGGCTTCTCCAACAGTGCAACACAAAACACAGAGACAGAAAAATATAGTGCAAGAAAATAGTTTAAAAAAGTGAAATAGTGTCATTGAAATATGATTTATTAGGTAAATAGATCAATATGTTTTAAGTAGCAGCCAGATGAATATTGTGGATGTTGTTTCAGCAGTTCAGGTGTTCAGTCTTATTGCCTGTGGGATGAAACTGTCCCTGAGTCTGGTGGTTTTAGTCCGAATGCCAGACGGCAGCAGACAGAACAGTTTGTGGCTGGGGTGATGGGGGTCTTTTATAATCCTGAGAGATTTCTTCCTGAGCCGCTGGGAGTAAAGGTCCTCCATGGATGGCAGCTCCGTCCTGGTGATGTTCTGTGCAGTTTTCACCACCCTCTGTAGAGTCTTACGGTTGAGGGCGGTGTAACTGCCATATCATGCCGTGATGCAGCCAGTCAGGATGCTCTCCATGGTGCACCTGTAGAAGGTCAGGATCCTTTCTATGGTGCACCTGTAGAAGGTCAGGATGCTCTCCATGGTGCACCTGTAGAAGGTCAGGATCCTCTCTATGGTGCACCTGTAGAAGGTCAGGATGCTCTCCATGGTGCACCTGTAGAAGGTCAGGATCCTCTCTATGGTGCACCTGTAGAAGGTCAGGATCCTCTCTATGGTGCACCTGTAGAAGGTCAGGATGCTCTCTATGGTGCACCTGTAGAAGGTCAGGATGCTCTCTATGGTGCACCTGTAGAAGGTCAGGATGCTCTCTATGGTGCACCTGTAGAAGGTCAGGATGCTCTCTATGGTGCACCTGTAGAAGGTCAGGATCCTCTCTATGGTGCACCTGTAGAAGGTCAGGATGCTCTCTATGGTGCACCTGTAGAAGGTCAGGATGCTCTCTATGGTGCACCTGTAGAAGGTCAGGATGCTCTCTATGGTGCACCTGTAGAAGGTCAGGATGCTCTCTATGGTGCACCTGTAGAAGGTCAGGATCCTCTCTATGGTGCACCTGTAGAAGGTCAGGATGCTCTCTATGGTGCACCTGTAGAAGGTCAGGATCCTCTCTATGGTGCACCTGTAGAAGGTCAGGATGCTCTCTATGGTATACCTGTAGAAGGTCAGGATCCTCTCTATGGTGCACCTGTAGAAGTTGCAGAGTATCCTGGAGTCCATGTTGAACCTCCTCAGCCTGCGGAGGAAGAAGAGCCGCTGTCGAGCTCTTTTGGTGATGGTGTTTGTGTGATGAGTCCATGTCAGGTCCTCAGTGATGTGGACAGCGAGGAACCTGAAGCTGCTGACTCTCCACCGTAGAATACGACCCCCTCTGTCCTTAGACCCTGACATGGGACAAGTTGCATATCCTTTCAAACTAGCCATAACTGGTGCCTCATAGGCACCTCGGGTACAGATAGCACAGCACCAGTTATCAGCAGTTATGCAGGCTTAAATGTCTCTATATAAATAATATACATGCCTTGATTATGTCATTCTTTAAAAAACCCTTTTTATCAATTAAATCAGTGATTCTCAAAAGGGGGTACGTAAAAAATAGCATGCATGATTACGAAAATAATCTTAGTACAACAAGTTATATAGAAAACACAATTGTATATAACATATTCCTAGAACCACCAAGGGGGTCCTCCATATAAACATTCAAATGTGTGTATTGTATTTTATAGTTTTTCATAATATATCATTTCGATTCACTTCAATTGAAAAACTCCTTGGAAAAATCCTTAGTTGGTTGTAATTCATGCATGAAGGAGTTAATAAATCACACACTGATGGAACATCACTATATTGCAGGGGTGCCCAACCAGTCGATCGCGATCGACCGGTCGATCACGAGGAGATTCCCAGTCGATCGCGAGATGTGTCTAAAAATAGAACAACAACATTCTGTTTTATCGTTAATGTCCTATAACATAATGTTCCTGTGCCAGAATAATGCACTTGAACGCATCAAAGCTTTGTGATTGGCCGGCGTGACCCCATGTGTCGGGGCGTGGCTGGTGGGCAGTGGGCACTATTTCGCTGACGTTGTTGTCCGACCGTGTCAACAGGAGTGACAGTCCGCACACACACAAGACCGCAATTATGGCAGAAGCAAAAAAGCCCAAAATATATAATTTTCACTCCGAGTGGGAGGATGATTATTTCTGTATCTATTCCAATTCAAAGTCCATCTGTCTCATCTGCAATGCGAGCGTGGCTTTATCGAAGAAGGGTAATTTAGGAGCGGCATTTCAAAACAGTGCACAAACGCTACGAGACGGAATTCCCTCCTAATTCTGCCCTACGCTCCCAAAAGGGGAGGGGCCTGAAAGGACAGCTAAATGCACAGCAGTCCATTTTCACCCGGCCCAACAACAAGAGCAAGGCTGCTTCCAGAGCATCTTATCGTATCAGTCACGTTCTTGAGAAACACATGAAGTCTTTCAAAGATGGCGAAGTTGTGAAAGAAGCATTCCTGGAGGCTGCCAACGTGCTTTTGGGGACAGTAAAAATAACAGAAGCATTTCAACAGGTTTTTGATATAATAAAAACTCAAGTTAGATACCGTTATTAATCAGCTGTAAGTTTTAGTTTGTTTGAACTTATTCATTATAATTATTGTACAAAATGGTATAAGAATGCAAACATTAAGATCTGTTCTGTTTAAATTGATTATAGTCTATTATCAATTCAGGTTAAGAAACTAGTGTTGCTGGCATCCTATTTTAAAGGCATTTATTTTTATATTCAACAAAAAAATTGTTTGATTCTATTAATTTTGTCTTTTTATTGCACTTGGCAGCAGATTCCTGTGTAGCTTCAGATCTGAGTTGTCTTATTAGTAAGTGAATAAACTCCAACTCTGTATCAACAACACTGTTGTGTAACTTCAGTTAAATACTTGTATGTGTGTAGATTAGAAAGAGGTAAGATAAAGGATCTGCAGTATTTTATCGAGTATTCATCGTACAAAGGTCAGTTTTATACAAGTAGAAGTGTGTATTTACCTGGTAGTAGGCTGTCAGTAATGGCTACGCCTCTATTTGGACTGGTAGATCTCGGCAGACTGGCAACGTTAAAAGTAGCTCTCGGTTCAAAAAAGGTTGGGCACCCCTGCTATATTGTAATGATTTATATGGCTTTTTCTATCAAAAATGTTGGGGGTCGGTCAGGGGGTACTTGGCTGAGAAGATGTTTCAAAGGGGGTATGAAAAAGGTTTGAGAAGCACTGAATTAAATAACTCGATAACAAACACAGATAACATTCGTCCAGACCATCTCCATCTGTCTGGTCAATTGAATTTCTTTTGACGGAAACGCTGAAACTTGTGTGTGTGTGTGTGTGTAGGTAAGCATGGAACCATCTATGTTCCTGGAGGTGGAGAACGAGGTGTCGGTAGTTGCGGGTTCAAAGCTCAGCCAGCTGCGATGCTCCAGAGACGGACGGGACTGGAACACACTGCTGCCCAGCTCAGTGATCACTGCTGCAGGGAGCAGGTACGAGGCTCAGCGCGTCACACACACACTCAGCTGTCTTTCATTGTAGTCTACTTGCCAGCATTGTGAACCAGGAAATGTTGAGTGTCCCAAAGGTCTTATGTTAGAAATGTATAATACGGGTCCCCAGCACAAATAAACTGCCTAATGTTAACTTGCATATGTTGGCCAATTTGCACAATTGGCATAAATTGCATTAATAAGCATTAATATGCAACTAATAGCTAAAAAATGGCATGGCTGATTTGGAAAATGTTGGTGTGGTTTTGGAGGTAAATGAGGATGTTGGATCAATCTCTGACAATTCCAGGATAAAGAAATGTCAGTTTTAACCAGCAAGTAGCCATATGTGTACTCCCGAGGGGCTGATGTAGATGAATTTTGGTTTGATTTGAAAGTTAGGGCACTTTGATCATAATAATGTTAGAAAATGATTCAATGTCCTCAATAACCTCCAAAACCACACCAACATTTTCCAAATTGGCCAAACAATTATTTAGCTATTGTCGGCAAATGGTAATTTATGCAACTTATGCTAATTGTGCAAATTGCCCAACAAGTTAGCATCTGGCAGTTTCTATCTGCTGGGGACCTGTACCAGACATTTCTTACATAAAGCTGTGGGGTACTCAACATTTCAGAGTTCGCAATAGGACTCTATCGGCTGGCAACTAGACTATTCATTGATTTTGTAAATAAATAAAACAACATCTCTGACTCTGCTCTTCTCTCCCTCAGTGACATCCTCGCCGTTGCCTGTCAGGACAGGATGTTGTCAGTGTTCTCTTCCTGTGGGCGGCGGCTGCTCCCTGCCATTCAGCTGGCCACGCCTGTGTCAGCTCTGCACTGCTCGGCCCACTTTGTCATGGCTCTGACGGCTGGGGCTGCGCTGTCTGTCTGGTGAGCCCGGATACATTCTGTTGGAGATCACATGTGCTCGATTGTTCTAGACATTATGATGATTGTTATCCAGCTGTTCATTTGTGTTCTGTCTGTTTGCAGGGATGTTCATAAACAAAAGGCTCTGGTGAAGAACGAGTCTCTGCTGAGCATTTTACCAGGTAAGACACTGCAGAATGGGATTGACACAGAGCATTCGACATTGTGGGACTCAAGGTTGACTATATCAATCTCATGCCTGTGTGATAAGTGTTGAAAAATAGTTCCAGCACCCTACTTTTTTTTCCATTTCTGACAAGTATTAGTTAATGTACTGTTATAACTGCCAATTAGAGCAAACATAAAGTAGAGGTGTTTCCTTGTTATAGAACCAGGCTAACAGATCCCCCTGCTTCCAATCTACATGCTAAGCTAGGCTAACCACATCATGAATCTAGCTCTGTTTAACTCGCATACATGAGATGGATACCAAACTTTTGTAGTTATTAAAATGTTAACCTATTCCTATTGAAGTACATTCAATATGTTTTATTGGAATCTTCTTCATGAATGTCAAAAATATGTTCTTTCACATGAAGATGGCTTCAAAACCACATTTGTATTTATAGGATTTAACTTTTATAAAATACAATTTGAATGAGTATGTAAAATGCAGTCATGCTGTCTACCCTTGAACACATTTTGTTTTGTGTGTAGGGGCTGACACCACAGTGTCTCAGTCTCTGCTGACCCAGCAGGGCGTTCCAGTCGTTGGACTCTCCAACGGAAAGTCCTACTGCTTCAGCTCCTCACTGGAGACATGGTGAGGCACTAAAGAGTGGACTGACAGCGCTGATTCCCAACCAGGGTTTGCTGGTAGTAAGGGTAGAAAAAACCCTTTGCTAAAAGTAAGGCTAGAAAAAACGTTTGAAATAGCTAGCTACAAGTTATAGACACACTTTTGTAATAATTGGCTAAAAGTAATTGGTAAACTTTTGAAAAGCCAGCGAAACGTAAAGAAGAACAGTTAAAATAGCTAGCTTCCAGTAATGGATAAACGTTTTAAATAGCTAGCTTCCAGTAATGGATAAACGTTTTAAATAGCTAGCTAGAAGTCATGGATAAACATTTTAAATAGCTAGCTAGAAGTATTGGATAAACGTTTTAAATAGCTAGCTAGAAGTATTGGATAAACGTTTTAAAAACTAGCTAAAAGCATCAACAGTTTGAAGAGTTGGCTAAATGTAATAAATAAATCATTTTAACAGTGATGGTTAAACCGTTGAAATGGCTACCGAAACTCAATGAAGAACAGTTCAAATAGCTAGCTAAAAGTGATGGATAGCATTTATCATTGGGGAAAAGGTTGTGATATTGGCATCTGCCGATGTTAGCCATATTTTCCGCCATCAGCACATCAGTAAATAAGGTGACATGTGCCAATGGCGGTAGCCAATGTTTATCTGTTTTGCTTAGTATGTGACAGGAAGAGGTTCGTGTCAAAGTTCATTTATTTTATATGACTGACAAGATCAAGGTCATTTTGAATGATTAGACACTGGCTGAGGGCTATCTGCCATAACTTTATAATCCTCCATAGAGCGTCACAAACACACCACCAAGAACACCCCAATGCCCCCCTTTCTAAAATACTTCCCCCCCCGAGTGAATGAGTAAACTTAAATAATTATACTGTCTCTCTTACAGGACGTTAATAGCGGATAAAGGAGACTCTATGGTCCAGTGTGCTGACTTCAGGAGCTGCCTACCTACCCAGGATGCACCTGTGTCCTCAGGGCCACTGGCTGTCATGCAGGGACGCAACCTCAAGTATGACAGCAGTATTTAATCCCCCCCTTCTATCTCCAGGTGAAAGGTAATAAATGAGTAAATAAACACCATGTCTGTGGTCCCTGCAGTGCTGGTCGGCTGGCGTCCCGCCTCTCCTCCACCCCTCACCACCTGCAGCAGAGCATGACGTTGGCCTTCCTGGAGAATCAGCTGGCGTCTGCTCTGACTTTGCAGTCAGCACAGGAGTATCGCTACTGGCTGCTCATCTACACCCGTTTCCTTGTCAACGAAGGTAGCAAACTATTCCTTTTTAGAATGATTTCAGACTGATAAGAGTCACTAACAACCCAGTGCTGACTGTACAAACCTTATGTAGCCCTGCCACTGATAATTAGTTCTTCTGTTTTTAAGACAACATTACAGACAATGAATTATGTTTCGGATCATTCACAGCCACACTTCAGCGATGAAATGGTTTTACAGTTCCACATCCATCCTCTTTTAGTGGTTGACATGAAAATGGCTCAAAATCTCATATGAACACTTTTTGAATGACTTATTAGTGTCTTTTCCCTCTGAGTAACTACCAAAAGTCACTAAGCACATCGGCCAGTTGTACTCTATACTAGAGCTCATGTTGTCAGTTTATGATAACTCACTGCCAGAGGGTAGACAAAGGTCCACAGTGTTACAATGTATAAAAACAAGTTCATCCAGGAGTGCTGATTGGGTTTCGGTTTCAGTGTTGACAAAACGTTGTGTGATCCCTCCAGGTTCAGAGTTTCGTCTCCGAGAACTCTGCAAGGAGCTGCTCGGTCCCGTCCACAAATCAGCAGCGACAGCCTGGGAGCCCACCACTCTGGTACAACTCAACATTTTTCAAAACGTTTACCTTCCACACAAACAAATGTATTGTCCTTTTTGTTCCTGCTCCCAAAGCTGCTTTGTGTCCCATCTCTTAGTTGTATTGTTGCTAGATGTTGACCAAGGATTAGGCTGTACTCATTCAGCATTAAGCCTCAAGTATATTACATATACATTAAGACATAAAGGGATACCCCAATCCATTTTTCTTTCTAACCTGGATGTTAGAAATCATAGTCACTCAACCAAAAGATCTCACAAAAAGTAGTGTGCAATGTCCTGTCTAGATGTAAAGCAGAGCTGCATCAACAGTTAGTTAATTAGTATTTATTAATTACAATGTTAACTGTTTTGTCTATAGAACATGAAAAAAAAAAACAGGTTGTGTAATTGCGACTGTCCGGAATAGTTTTTTTGCTCATTTGATTAATCTGTTATGACCTGTGCAAACAAAGCTAATAGCTAATGAGTTAGCTTGCGTTAGCTTGCGTTAGCTCTGGCTCCACATTAAACGGCGCATATGCTAGTCGCTAACGATCTGTTTTCTGTGTTAAGGGTCTACGTAAGCGCGAGTTGTTGCGGGAAGTCTTACCTGTCATCGTTGAAAACCTGCGATTCCAGAGACTGTTCACCGAATACCAGGACCAGCTGGAGCTACTGCGCAACAAATAACACACACTGCTGCCCACACACACACACACACTGACAACACACATGCCTGGACTCATCATGAAACCAGTTTGGTTCTTCCAGTTCGACTCGGGTGAACTCTGACTGCTTATCGTCAACTGAAGAAGCTTGAAATGCTGTTTGGGCTGAAAGCTGCAAAACAGAAAAACTTCATTCACGGCGAGTCCACAGCTTTCAAAGTTTGGGGACTTTCAGTGCTGTCGCTCACTGGGAAGAAGTGGCGGGTGCTTTGGATTTTTTTCTTCTAATCACAATCTTAGTTCCAACTCACGTGTTCTGTCGGTTTTTGTTTTTTTTTAACCTATGCACCTCTCTCCTGCTCCTTGAACTAAAACATATTTAATTAAGAGAGGTTGTGTTACAAATGTTGCTGGTTGGATCCCTGCAGCGCGATACATCTTTCTCAAGTCTGTTTCTCTCCTCCGAGAGAGTGAGCAGAGGTGAGACAGTGAAAAAGGAAATAGAATAAATCAAAATGGATGTAAAGGAGCAATATGCTTGTACCAAAGTGATGCCTTCAAGTGTAAAAATAACCACACAACTCTATCTGCAAAGTGAAGGAAATGAAGGGCATCATTAAAAAAAGGTTCAAATGGGTTTTTAAAGGCTGATGGGCGAAGTTTTCTGAGTGTTCTGGCTGAAGAAAATGCCAATGCCAACATTTGAAGTCACAGGTCACCGCGAAGAAGATAATCAAACTTATGACACCACTGGAAATGTAATGGTATATTCAGAGATACAGGATGGACCTCGATTTTTAAGGGATGCCTTTTTTGCAGCTAATCCTAACCTATGAGAGCATTCGCTCCAGTCAGAGCACTTCAAGCATGTAAGAGTAGAAAAATGTGCACAAAGCGCTGCAGAATTTACGGTGGCCGACGACCGCCCAAAACGATGCAATAAAAAAAACACAAATGTGCCAAAACACGCGCAAATTAAAAAATATCTTCACCAAGTTGACGAAACGTGCGCAGCATTTACTAAAAGCACTGCATAAAAGAAACGCTGCAAATAAAAACAATGTAAGAAGCTCAAAACACAACAGAAACGGGGACACTAAAAAGTGATGCACACAGCTGGGACCAGAGCACACAGTCACAGTTGGCACACTGTGACTGGAAACTTACCTCAAATGTACATTGTATTGGCTTGTTTAAAAAATGCGATCCCAGGAATCCTTCTGATATTATTGCTGATCTGCTGTCAGCTAGCTAGCCTAGCTAACATATAGCTAACCTAGCTAGCCTAGCTAACGTATAGCTAACCTAGTCATTTCATTTATACTGACAAAACACTTACAATCGTGAAACAGGCCAACTCAGCCAACAGTGACAGTTGGCCAACTTTATGATCCCAGAACATCAACAAGTGCTCCGGTCCCAGCGCTGCGTCACTTTTGAGTGTCCCTGTTTTCGTTGTGTTTTGAGCTTCTTCCTGCATTTAGTTTGAGCAGCTTTTTGAGTAAACACTGCTCATGTCTTGTCAAGTTGATGAAGATGTTTCTTCATGTGTTTTGGCTCATTTGTGTTTTTATTTGCATCGCTTTTGAGCCCATTTCTCCTAATGGAAGTGTAGCGTAGGTCGACCACCGTAGCATTTAGACTAAAGAAACTAAACACAAGTAAGGAAACACGATGGCAGTGCCGGAATCCATTTTCACATCTTATCTGCAACAAAGGTAGACGGAAGTACAAGCTTTGGGTGCAAGTTAGCATTATTTGAAATAACTAAATGTTTCACACATTGTTATCTTTGCTTTTTACCTCAACTTTATAAGCACCTAATCAAGATTATACATTTAGATTATTTGTCAAAGAAAAAGCATTTAACATGAGTGCATAAAAAGTCCTATTTGTATTGTGTTGGCTGAATGAATGTAGATCTACAGGCGTAACCATTACTTAACCTCCATGAAGTCTGAGAATAAATCATATTTACTGTGGACTTAGAAAAAGAAATTGGCTGAATTGCTCAGCAAGGTGGGAATGAAGTACACACAGGTTTAACAAAAGCTCGACAATGAATCTAGTAAAGTGAACTCGTGCCAACGTTACATCCGTACATAATTATTGTAAATATCAGCAGCTGCCTGAGGACATTTGCTGATGAGCAGGAAAGACTCATTTGTGCAGATCTTCAAGGCATATCATGTGTATGAAACGGATCTTTGGGGTAATAAAAAATCCCTCGTGTGTCAGATTCACGACATCCGATTTAGCTTTTGTTCCCCCTCCCCCCAAAAAAGGCTAATATGATCCACTTTTTGAACGGCTGTGACCAGACATGGTGAACGGATAATGTTATATATATATATTTTGGTCTGTTTCACTTCCTGTATCTCGTAAATACCCCAAGTCTAATTGCTGCACCATTGGTTTACATGTTCTCTCTGTTGCCGGGCAAGAAACACCCCAAAAATGTTTTTCAGGACAGACAGAGGGATTTTCTTTTGTCTCACATGCATTAACTTGACATTTGTACAGGTTTCAAAAGCACAGCGGTCATGAAACCTCATTGGACTTCTCGTGGATAAAAAGTACTTGTTTAGCCTTTTTTGTCTACCTCTGCCAATTCATATATAACAGTAGAGAGAGCTTATGCTCGCTGTATCTGACAGTGTGGAGACACACAGAGGAAGAATTCATCTATCAATCTGCACAGCATTTATTTTTCCTTCTTTCCTTTTTTTCCCGCTGTAAGTCATTTTTAAATGTTTGTACAAGCAATTTCTTTTTTCATTTTCTATAAGAAAAAAAGAATGAGAAGAGCTGAGTTGTTGCTTTTGAGGAAAGAACTTGAAAAATAAATGAGGAACAGTTGGGGTTTGGTAATTCCCTGAGTGGTGTTTCTTCACTGAATGTGTGGTGAGAGCCATTGTTATACTAGTAAAGCGTATACCTGGATCCAAATAGTTTGTCAGTTTTGATCAATTATGTTGTGCAGTTTAAAGAGAAGCTTTTCTTAAATGCAGCTTCCTTTAGGCATTATTGTGCATTTGACTCCTGAACAGAAGCCTGTTCCTTTTTAAAGAGGCCCGATCTACTGTAGTGTGTGGTATAGGTTGTTGTGCATGTTAATGGTCTGCAAAGGCTAACATCCCTGTGTTCTCTCCAGAGGGAGTTTCTCTCCCACACACTCTCCCCCTTTCTGAAACGCCTTCATTGGACTCCTTTGTTTACTTCCATAGTGACATCACTACATAACGCTTCTATTGGCTAGCGTTCCACAACATTGTACTTGATTTTGTAATGGTCGGGATATTTCCGACACATCTCTTAGTGGTTGACCAATCACAACAGAGTGAGCCAACTAACCAATCAGAGCAGACTCTGCTAAAATGGCCTGACTCTCGAGAGCAAAAGTACCCAAAGCTGGGCCCAATAAGCATGCTCACTTACTTATTTATTTGCCGATCTTCTCTGATCCAGTCTAATGAATGATTGGCTCGTGCTCCAACACATTGTAGGTGATAGGCTTAGGGGCAGGACATCTCTAAGCGGTCCACCAATCAAAACCGAGCCGCCCAGCTAACCAATCAGAGCAGACTGGGCTCCGTTTCAGACGGAGGGTGAAAAGAGGTGCTTCGGCACAGGAGAAAAATTAAGAGCTTTTTGAAAATTAAAGCATGGAGACATGTCCCAGTAGAGGCAAAAAATACATTCGCTTTGTGCTGTACAAAAAAAATGCACAATACGTAGTATTTTTTTGGGAGTAGTTTCTACAACTGTTTTGACGATATTCGCCGTGATTTGCCCCCAAAGTTCACGTTCGTTCGATGCTAGGCGATCCTTCGCCATGGAACACGATGACGTCATAACTCAAACTGACATGCTCAGATCGCCTATCACCTAAACTTCACATGATGGTTAACACTGCGGCCCTGAACAGCTCTAGGTCAAATCTGATGTTACATCATGTGGCGTTACCATGGCAACGAATCCTTCGCCATAAAACACGATGTCGCTGTAACTCCAATGGACACGGTCCGATCGTCCCCCAATCTTCACTTGTATATCACCGGTCCATGCCTCAACAGCTCTATGTGAAATCTGAGATCTCACCATATGCCGTTTCCATGGCAACGCATCCCTCGCCAAAAAACACGATGTTGTCGTAACTCAATGGAAAATGGTCCAAACGGCACCAGACTTCAGACGATGGCTAATGGTCCGGCCCTCAACAGCTTTATGTCCATCATGGGGTGTCATCATATACCGTTGTCATGGCGACAGATCCCTCGCCATTAAACATGGTGTTGTCGTATCTCAATGGAAAATCGTCCAAACGGCACCAGACTTCAGATGATGGTTAATGGTCCGGCCCTGAACAGCTCTATGTCAATTATGGGGTGTCATCATATGCTGTTTCCATGGAAACGCATCCCTCGCCATAAAACACGATGTTGCCGTAACTCCTATCAAAATGTTCAAAACAGCACCAGGCTTCAGATGATGGTTAATGGTCCGGCCCTCAACAGCTCTATGTCAATTATGGGGTGTCATTATATGCCGTTGCCATGGGAACGGAACCCTCGCCATAATGCATGATGTTGTCGTAACTCCTATCAAAAGGGTCAAAACGGCACCAGACTTCAGCTGACAGTTAATGGTCCGGCCCTCAACACCTCAATATGACAATAGTGAGTTTTCCTCTAAAGCTGTTGCCATGGCAACGCATCCCTCGCCATTAAGCACGATATTGCTATACCTCCAGTGTTAATGGTCAAAAAGTGTTCAAACTTAACGTGTGCTAACGGTACAGCCTTCAAGACATATATGTTTCAGTTTTGAGATTTCGTCAAATGCCGTTGCCATGGTAACACAATGGTCACCATGAAACACGGTTTTCTCATAACTCCATTGAACATGCTCCAAACAGCCCAAAACTTCACAGGTTTGATAACGATGCATCCCTCAACACATCTAGGCGTATTATGAGGTGTCATCAAATGTCGTTGCCATGACCACAGATTACTCGCCATCAAACACAATGTTTGTGATATTGCTGTAACTCCTATGTACGTTGTCCGATCGCCCTGAAACTTCCCACATTTGCCAACGGCCGAGTCCTTGAGACACCTACGTGACACGTTGATGTGCGAACAACAGCCTGCGGAGCATCGAAGACCCGCTCAACGCTGCTTGCAGCTTTAATTTAACATTGATATTGAAGTTCTTGTTTCTGGATACAAGTAAAAAATATTGATTGGTGGACGCAGTTCGGACATTCGGTTACAGTTGCAGCATGTGGCAGATGTTGTGAACACTACTGCCTCAGGAGGTCGGACCATCACCAAAATAACAAAGAAGTGTTCTAAAGAAGTGAAGGACAAAATGCACACACATTAGAAGTGCATTCACATGACACATGATTTGGTCTTTGCTCAACTGTGTGGTTGGTCGCAGAGCCTTGCAGTGAAACAGCTAGTTAGGTTTTGTTTCTACAGTTACCTCCCTTGCTAGCTTGCGCCGCTACATGCAGCTCTCATCTGATTGGTTGTGCGTCAAGGTCAGCGGTAAACAAGGTCAAAAATCGGAATAGATGGAGCTTTGGGTGCAGTGGTCGCAATGATTTTCAACGGTGCGAGACACTGAGTGTAGCACGTCCGCTTAGTCGAGGGTGGAACCGCTATCCCCGTAGAAACACAACGGCAACGTCAGCGCAGAGAGCTTTTATGGTGTATCATGTGATTGCAGCTTTATACAAACACAATAGGGGTGGGGTGACACCATACCGCTTTTAACAAAAAATGTGTTTATAACACAGTGCCTTTATTGAGGTGACAGTGTTGAATGGGGAGACAGAGGGGATGACACGGGCAAATGGTCAAAGGCAGGATACAAATCTGGGTCCTCTGCAGGGGAACCAAGCCCCAGTACATGGGCTGCCTGCTCTACCAACTGAGTTATACGGCGGCCCACAAATGCATGGCATAATAACATTACAACTGGAATTATATATTGCCATTGACTTGGGTTAGGGTTTGACAGTGTCTCCATTCAATAGTTTGTCCACCAGAGAGCAATGCTACTACAAATACTAGTTCTGCTGCTAATACTTCGTCTACAACTACTTACACAGACATGAATAAGAATACATTTTATTTGTACAGCAACCTCCATGCATATTACGAGTGTTTATACATGAATACAATATTTACAGTATGTTTGAATTGGTCTGGTGTTCCGGTGCCGTCCAGGTTTATTAACTTAGAAAAGCAGTGATGATTTAACAGGAAATGTAAATTGTAACACAAACACACACACGCATGCGCACGCACACACACACACACACACACACACACACACACACACACACACACACACACACACACACACTTGATGTAATAATGGGTGTAACTTAAAGACATGGAGCAGTTTCCTGATCAACATTACATCTTCCTGATTCACCGCTCACAGCTTTCATACACCAGAGATTTTTTTTTAAAACAAGTTCTCTGAAGTCATGTAGTCCTTTTACATAGAAAATAACGGGTTTTGAAAGACGATGGACTTATTTTATGTTTACAATGAGCTAATCTTTTGAATATTTGGTAATTTTTTACCAGCTAAGATGGGCATCTGGTCTCACAAACTGTACATTGCTATGTGTACAGTGATGAGCCTCCTCGGTGTGTTTTCTCATGGTGAGTTTGCCACTATTTTGCAGCTTGATTAAAGGAAAAATCGTATTTTTCTGAAATGTGTTGTGGTCGATCTGGATTAGTCTTGGTAATGATATGCACTTTTTGTTAGTGTATGTCATTGTTTCAGTGTTGGAAGTAGTAATCAGATTTACCTAAAGTAATATTTGAAATATAATATATATATATTACAATATATATATTATATAATATTTAATATATTATATATAAGTAATATTTGAGTAAAAATATAAGCAGTATAATGTACTTAGGAAGCAGAAGAAAACATCCTCCCTGTGTAAAATGGGTTGTTTCAGAGGGTTTCATGATTAAGCCCTTAAAATTCAGTTAATAATCCTGGTTTAACTTGTCTACTAAACTGGCCATTTGAACCCTGGGCGATGCATGAGATACATTTGAGTAAAACTGTTTAGTGATTCAAAACATGTTCTACTGGCAGGGAAGTTACATCACGTCTTGGTTTAGTTAAGGTGTCCTTTCCTGAATGTAAGTCTTGCATTCTGTGTGTGTTCTGTGTGTGTTCTGTGTGTGGCAGAGGTGACGGTGAGGGACTCTGAACTGAAGCGCTGTGAGGAGGACCAGCGGGTGTGTGTCACTGACCTCAGACACTGTGGCTCTCCAACACCTTCATCTATACAAAGTGAACAAACACACACACATTCGGCACTCAGTCAACAGTTGTAGAATGTAACGAAGAACATTTACACAAGTGCTAGAATAGTCTTATGAACCTTTACAGTCTACATATTTAATATTTGTATATAATTCAATTATTTTTGCATTTGACTTGCACCATTGTGGTCCTTGCACCATGCTCTTGCTCCATTTGCTCATTTTCAGGTTCATATTTGTATTTTGTGTCTCTACTATGACATGTCTCCATGCTTTAATGTTCATAAAGCTCTTTTTTTCTCATACTGCCTGTGCTGCAGCACCTCTTTTAACCCTTTAGCCGAGTCTGCAATGAACACACTACAGGAAAGGGAAAACCCCCAAAACACAATAGGGCCCCTCTATTTCTATTTTTCTTGCACTATTATTACCTCTGAAGGATATTCTACTGTGGGTTGCATAGTTGGAGTGGACTAGGACCTTCATAGCCAAAACTATGCTGTTACTATTGTGCAAATGACCATAAAACCTTTGAATCTCTAAGTGAAGATGGGGAGGACTAAAGCAATGTAACAATGTCAGTTCAGCTTTGCAGTGCATTTAATGTTCATGTCACCACCATAAGCCCTCTGTTGTTTTCCTACAGAGACACTGAACATGTCCTGTTACTACCAGATATCACACAGATCTATGACATGTGAGTTGAAGCAAGATTCAGACAGCCACATTGAGCCTGACATCTCTCTCCTCTTCAGCAGGTAAACACTGATTAAAGAAGGCGGTTTACTAAAAAATAAAAATGTTGGAAGCTGTACTCCAGTTTCAGGCTCTGTATATGTAGCTACCAATGTTATTGGAAGTATGTTTACTTAAGTGAAAGTTGCAATTCCAAAGTGTATAAATACTCAGTTAGAAGTATTAGTCCCGCATTCAAAATTGTACTTCATTAAAAGTACAAAATTATTAACATCAAAATATACTTAAGGTAAAAAAAGTGCCCATAATGTAATATGGCCAAATTCAGAATTGTTGTATTATGTTATCAATGTATAAATGTGTTCACTATGGTGGCTGACAGGGGGCAGGGGGGGAAGTAACACACAGCAGTTTCAACAACGATTTTTAAAAAAAAACACTAATGTGCCAAAACAAAAGCAAATAAAGAAACCTCTTCACACATGCAGCATTTAGATGCAGCATTTAGAAACACACAGCTGGGACCGGAGCACTTGGTGAGGTTTGGGGATTATAAAGTTGACCAACTATCACTGGAAACCTAAAATGTAATTTTCATTGGCTTATTTTAACAATGTTATCGCATGATTATTTTCCTTTATTGCAGATCTGCTGTTAACTAGCTAGCTAGCAAAGCTAAAGCTAGTCATTTCATTTATAATGTTAAACACCTACTTTGCAAGAGTAACAGTTGGCCAACTTTATAATCCCAGCACGCCAACTGGCATTTTAAGCTTGTTGCAGTTTTTTTTATTTGCAGCATTTTGTTTATGCAGCACTTTAAGTAAACGCTGCACATGTTCCGCTAAGTTGGATACTTTTTTTATTAGTGCTGCACGTGTTGTCAGGTTGGTGAAGATGTTTCATAATGTATGTGTTTTGGCGCATTTCTGTTTTTATATTGATATCGTTTTTGAAAGTGAGCACTTCCATTCTCCTGATTGAAGTGTTTGGGCTGTTGTAGCGGGCTTGCACAGATTGGCCAACGTAGTTCTGTACTTTAGTATTGCAGCAGGTAGACTGGGGTCTATTTCTAACTATTTGATATACTATTGGGTATTTTACCTTATGATAATAATACACATTAATGTTTAAAATTATTTATATTATGTATTAATTACCTAAATCTGCAATGTAGCTAGTGAAATAAATGTGGTGGAGTCAAAAGCAAATGTTCCTACAAAATGCGACTTAGAAGTTTAATGTGAAAACACAAGTGAAGTACCTCAATTAAGTGTAGTATTTGAGTAAATGTTGTTAGAATTAAGTTTAAGATTACAAATGTGTATTAAAAAACAAGGTCTCATCCTCCATGTATTCCCCTTCTCCCTCTCCTTTTCTTCTTCAGCGTACATACAATCATCTCCTGTCAGGGAATATTCACACCAGCAGCGGTCCTCTCCGTAACCGCCAGTATCAAAAACTACATGATGATGAAGGAGATCTGGACCCGACCTCACACTGTGTTTCTTAACGATTCAAGTGAGTGGCAAAGATATGTCATCACTTCTCAACCCAGTAGCAATGAAGGAAGATGAACTCAAATATTTTATTGAAAGAGGCTCCATTACTGTATGCTTGATGTGGCTTTTCTCTTCCCTGTAGTGTTATATAGGTTTGTGTGCATGTACTGTAAATGGTCTGCAAAGGCTAAAATCCCAAAGTTCTCTCCAGAGGGAGTTTCTCTCCCAAACACCTGTAATGCCTTCATTGGACTCCTTTGTTTTCTTCCTGAATAAGTGACATCACTATGTAGCACGCGCTCTTCTATTGGCTAGTGTTCCTACACATAGTATGTGATAGGCTAAGGAGGGGGGACATTTCCGACACATCTCTTAGTGGTTGACCAATCCCAACAGAGCAGGACAGTTTACAAATCAGAGCAGACTTGGCTAACATGGCCTGACTCTCGACAGCAAAAGTACCTTATCTGGGCCCAAAGAGGATGCTCACTTACGTTTAGCTTAAGCCCTGTCAGAGGCTACCCCGTATCAGTCAAATGAATCGCTCCAACACATTGTACATGATAGGCTTAGGGGCAGGACACTTAAGTGGTTGACCAATCACTACAGAGCCGGCCAGCTAACCAATCAGAGCAGACTTGGCTCTGGTTTCAAACAGAGGGTGAAAAGAGGTGCTGCAGCACAGGCAGGATGAGAAAAATAAAGAGCTTTTTGAACATTAAAGCATGGAGACATGTCCCAGTAGAGGCCCAACACACTAATATGAAGCTGAAATTAGCATAAAAAGGCCCCTTTAGGTATAAGTAATACCACAGTGTAGAAATACTCTGTCATAATAAGTCAAGTACTTATTATGCAGATTTGCCATTTCGGAATAATATATTTTGTACTGCTAGATTATAATTAGTGATCCATTCATTTGTTAATTTTCTTATTTCTTATTTTATCCATAATAATAAATAATCATTTATGAGTTTTTGTATACACAAAATGAAACTTACTAGTGTTATCAAATAAATGTAGTGGAATAAGTCAATCAAAATACCACAAAAATGTTACCTAAGTACAGTACTTGAGTAAATGTACTTTTTTTGCTCTCCACCACTACCTAGTTATGACTGTGATACAAGCTAACTTTAATCTTCAACTGCTGTTAAGTCATGTACATATACTTGTTTTGTTTGTTTGTTTCCTCTCCTCAGTCAAACCCTCTCCGCCTGTATTAACTGTTCTTGGCTCCACTGAGGACTCTGTTGTTGTGTCATGGAGAAGCAGCAGTTACGGCAGCTGTAGGCTTCGCTACAGAACGAACGATACGCACATATGGACCCTGGTTAGTTAACACTCTTGTCACTCAATGTATGAGAACATTTAAATAATAATAATAATAGAATAAATGTGTATAGTGCCTTTCAAGGGACCCAAGGCCACTTTACATAGTAAAAAATAATAGGTATGGCATTAAATAAATAGCAGTAGTGGAAGCAGGGGGACTGTGATGGGTTAGGGGCCAACTGAATTTTACTCAGTACATTAAATAAATTGCCGTATCTAAGTACATAGTCGAGATACTTTAACTTGGGTATTTCAAGTCTATGCACCTTCATTCTTTCATCTCAGATACAAATAATATACTTTTATACCACTCTCTTTGTTAGACATCTTTAGCTGCTTTTCAGACTACAGTTCAGTGAAAACCATTTATTTCCAGATGTGTTGATTTTGAATGTTAAGCTGCATTCACATGATACCGGATTTTCTGTTTGCTGACTTTGAGGTTGGGCGCAGAGCCTTATGGTTAAAACAGCCAGTCAGGTTTCGTCTTTATGGTTACATCCTCTGCTAGCTTGCGCCGCTTCATACAGCTGTTATCTGATTGGTAACGCTGATAACATTTTAACTGATCGCAATGCTCCTCGAAAATTCAAGTGGTGCGCAACAATGAGGGTAGCGCTTCCACTTGATCAGGCGGCACCACTCAGTCCATGGTAACACAACGGCAACCCCAGTGCAGAGCCGCTATACTGCGTATCATGTTAATGCAGTTTTAGGGTTAGGGTTAGGTATGTGATAAATTAAAGGATGAGGTGTTGCCCTTTTGTGTTTACAAATTCTCGTACTTGTAATTTTTTGGTTAGCTAGAAAATGCATTGTCACAGATCAGAAAACAGGGTTGTTATTCTGAGAAACTCAGAATAATGAAGTACACCCTTTTAAGAAGGAGCTTGTCCCCAGATGCAGTCAGTCCCCAAAATGTGAGTGTGTTAACAAGCTAGATTCCCTATTAGCAAGAAGTTAGGAACAAATTCAAAAGAAACCTGTTAGTACCTTTGAGATTTTGGCCCACTGTTCTTCTAAACCCCTTCTTTTGTCTCAGTGTTGCCCTTTGGTTTTCCTTCTAAGCATTCCTTGGCTACAGGTGTTATCTACTGCGTTACGACCAAACTGGTTCCAGATCCATTTCTGAGCTAGTACTCTATTGCGAATCAGTTCTACCTGTTTCTACCGCAGCGGGGCCTGCTGCGGGCCCACATGCTAGTTCGTATTTATAACCAGAAAACTGCTGGTCAAGAACCAACAACCGAACACGTCTGGCTTACGTCAGGGGAGGGAATATCCTGATCAACAACAACAAAAACCTGCAAGACGTAGATCCATTGATGCTAGCAAACTTAAACAGCAGTGGCGGGCGGAGGAGAAGCTACCTCCTTGGTAGCTTGGTGGCAATAGAGATACAATTGGGAATCACTTTTAATGATATACCGTCTTAATTGATGCTGGAAAGCTAGGTATTTTGAGCTGTATAAAGCAGGGACGTAAACGGTTACATCATGATGCAAGATGACGCAGCTCCACGCGGTGGCAAAGGAACTGGGAACTATTTTTTTCATGGTAAAAGGGGTAATTGCGTACCCTGACCCTAACAAGCTGAAATCCCCAAAGCCTATGAGCACAGGTACACAAATATTAACAAATTGAAAAAAGAAACCTGGAAGAACCTTTAAGATTTTGGCCCATTACTCCTCTGAACCCCTTTATTTTGTCTCAGTGTTGCCCTTTGGTTTGGACTTTTTGAATTTTTCCTTAGGCTAAAGGTGTTATCGTGTACTCTAACCCTAAAAACCAGATGCGATAATGGGAAACCCCTAAACATTTGAATACAACTGGTAACTCAAAATGTTTGGATACTTTTATTTAGAAAATACCTTCAGAATGCCCTAGATAATCAGCTACCAAATACCACATACAATCAGTTTGTCTTTGCTGTCTGTGTCTTGTTTCCAGGCTCCTGATTCTGTCCCGTCACATCAGGATCAGACATTGAACTACAGGATGAAAGACCTCCTGACCTTTACCTTCTACCAGGCTGGCGTGGCCTGCAGAGAGGAACCCGGCTTCTGGAGCGACTGGAGTTCTGACGTCAGCGCGAGGACGCTGGAACGGGGTAACAGTTTACATTCAAACAGAAATTCAATTATAGTCTGAAACTCAGAAGAAGTGTTTCCATAAAATGATTGAAATAGTGTCTCAGCATAACCTGCTATAGAGTGGTGCTAATGCTCGCTAAAGAGTAAGGACATCGGCACTTTTTTTGTCTCGAAGTGTATGTGTTTTTTAGCATGTTTGTGCTTAGTTGCCTGAAATATAGTCTGTGGTTTACATCAAATTGACACATTTTGATATACGACATAAAATCCTTAAGTAAATACCCCACTCAAGAATGTTTTAAACAGCAGTTGCTAATGAGACTAAATTAGACTGCTTAACGCCATTGTGTCAATACTAGTCTGCCTTAAGCGTAGAGTTGTTAATGTGCAGCCATGCAACCATGATGGTGTTGGGTTTTAGCATAACTCTTTACTCCTGCCAGGGACATTTATTCTTCAAAAATCACAAAGTGGTGTTAATATGTGGAGATTATCCTGCGGAACAAAATGTGTTAAGTATCTTAAATGTTTGTTTGCCCCAGAGCTTTCTGTCTGCAATATTCCAAAGTCCAATGGAACAATCCCATCCCGTCATAACTGCACGACTATATCGTTTATACCAATTACAGAAATATATTTTTTTACAAGAGCAGTCAAATCAGCTTGGAATGTTTTGCTTTCTCTCTGCCAGCGCTGTCCAGGCCTCCAGAGGTGTGTTATAGAGTGGAGGAAACTTTGAAAGACTCTGATGGATCCTATCTGCTTTATCTCATGTGGAAGGTATTTCAGAATTCCTTTTAAGTCATCTATAAAATGGTTTCCCTTTTCAGCCTAAAAAATAAACAAGTAATATAAAAATATGAAAGACAAACAACTGAACTTATTACTGGTTGAATGCAAAGTCGTATTGAATAGCCTGCTTGCATTTGTTTAATAGTAGCTCATTCTGAGGCAACTCGAGCGTCAAATTTGCGTGACGCTTTCTCGCCAAAGACAATCAGAGTAAACAAAACAAAAACTCAAAGCCGCGGCCCAACTCGCGCGAGTAAATCGATGCGATGCAAATCATTGCGCCATGTCCAGTGGGAACGCACCATTACACAGTATAAGACAGGAGGCATGTATAAAAGTGTAAACAAAAAGTAACCTTTATTAAATAAAGCCGATACAAATTGCGGAGACCAGAGAAGGTAAAATAAAACAAAGAAAAACTAAACAAGAACAGACCCGAGAGCAGGGACACAGGCAGGAACTGCGAACCGAGAAGGAACATACAAGAAAAACCATGAGAGACAAGACACAGCTGGAGAGGAGATGAATCACAGGGGCAGCAGGTGAACACACATCAGACAATCACACAGGCGGGAAAACACAAAGAAAGGAAGTAAAAACAGACCGGACACAAGGAGGAAATACATATCAAAGTAAAACAGTATAGGAGTTTACACCTGAGGCCTGTACTACGAAGCAGGATTTGGGGTCAGTGAGGTAACTTCAGGGTTAACTCAAAGTTCATATTCCTACGACGCTGGTTCACTACGTATGAGTGAACAATACGTAGGATGACTCCTTGGTGTTATGTTGAACACCAAACCTGCACCAGAGCAGGTCATGTTTGAGATAAAAGATCAACTCTGTGGCAGCACCGCCTGCTGACCAACACAGTTGTAACTGCTGTATGCAGGAAAGACGGCTGGCAAAAGTCGATGACTGTGTGAACATGTACATTAGTAGAATATCCTTGCCCATCTTTAGAACTATCTGACTATTATAACATTTGCTGTAAGCAAGCGTACTGAAATATCAGCCAGAACATAAGTAACCGGAGCAAAGTGACACACTGTAAATGCACGTCCCCGACATGTCGCACTTATCAATCGGTGGTGGCGAAGTCCATAGGGACTTGGCTTGGCAACTGGAAGGTCACCAGTTCAAGTCCCGGAAAGACCAAGTGCTACCGAGGTGTCCCTGAGCAAGGCACCGTTCCCTACACTGCTCCCCAGGCAGCGTACATAATAATGGCAGCCCACTGCTCCTAACACTAGGATGGGTCAAATGCAGAGAAACCATTTCGTTATTAGTACCTGTATTATGTAATGACAATAAAGTTGAATCTTCTTCTTCTTTATATCATATCATATAATCATTTATCTGTGTCAGCTTCTTGAGCCGTGCAACACACCAGAGTCGTGCACTCACTGTCACAGCATACTATGAGAAGTGTTATTTCAAGCAACAATTAAAGTCAGATCCAGTGGGGCAGTGATATTATGAACCTTTTAGTTTGAAACATCTATTCTTTCTGCTCTTTGCAGCTGCCTGTGGCTTTTATCCTGGATTAAGTGTTGAAGTCATGGATGTTTAAAGTTTAACTTTTCATATTTGTCTCATGTGATAGATTACTCTTCATTCATGATGCGAGGTCAGTACATATCTCCATGTTTGTACTCCATATCAAATGTTGCTAGCCCCGCCCCTTTCACGTGAACGCGCTCTTAGCCGGACAGAGAAACCCTGGGTTCACTTGCCGAGTTGATAACCAGCATCGTAAGACCGCTTAGCGAGATTGTTTTTGTTAGGGTTAGATAAGCCATGTAACTCAAAGATATCTAGGGTCTGTTGAACTGGCTTCGCCGTACCACATTACATGTCACTCGTTAGAAGCTTTTATCCAAAGCGGCTTAATACTAATAATAATAACTTAAATGTATATAGCGCCTTTCATATACCCAAGGATGCTTTTACAAAGAGGGGGGGGGGGGCACTAAACACACTCTAGGAGAGAACACAATGGGACTACAAATAAAACAGACAAGAAGACTACAATGTGTGATGTAGTTTGTGAGGGCAGGGAGATGAGTAACTAAGGTTGGAATGCTATTATAACAGACTAGTTTTCAGGGTTCCCTTGAAGATGTCCAGAGAAGGGGCATCACAGGTTTCAGCAGGGAGGGAGTTCCAGAGGGTTGGGGCAGCAACACTGAAAGCACGGTCCCCGAAAGTGTGGAGGCGTGAATGGGGAATGGAAAGTAGGCCAGAGTCTGAGGATGGAAGAGTACGGGACGAGATGTATGGGCGGAGAAGATCTATGAGGTACTGAGGGGAAAGGGAATGGAGGGACTGATGGTGATGAGGAGGAGTTTATATTATGTGATGCAGGACTTGACCGGGAGCCAGTGGAGGTGACGTAGGGTAGGGTAAGGGTTACATACAGACTTTCAATACTGTGGGCAATCCCCACAGGAGCCATTTTGGGGTGAAGTGTCTTGCTCAGGGACACAACGACATGCTGACTGCAGCGGGACTCAAATGTGCTCTCCCCTGATCCGAGCGCACCAGCCCACTGAGCCACAGCATCCCCTGTGTTTGTCAGTAATGTTAGCAAATGGTGCTAGTTATTGCAAAGAAAAACAGGCAGATTGATTAACTAATTTGAAATGCATGACACAAAAGGTCACTAGTGAAAATAAGAAATGTATAAAGTTTGGTTGACTAACAGAAATATAACCCTAACTTACAATATCTAATATGTTGAAGTGTATACAATATACTGACTTGTCAAATCTCTAAACAAATGTGGCATAAAATGTCTTGTGCTTACGCCCCTTCTCTCTGCAGCATCTCGACCTCCCTGGTACCAGAGTTCGTATCCATGGATACCAGGTGAGCTACAAGCTGGTGAAGAATCAGCAGGCGCAGGACAGATTCACTCAAAATGTCACCGGGTCAATGGCGCTCCTGGTGGTGAAGGAGGGGAACTACAGAGTCACAGTTTCAGCTTTCAACACGGCTGGCTATGGACCTGCTGCTCATCTCAGCACTGACACACAAAGACAAAATGGTGAGCGCCACAAGGGTTATTTCATGTAAATAATTATTTTTTTATATAAGGTTCATGTTGAGGTACACAAAGAAGCAAAGGATTCTGTAATATAAGTGAAATCTGCATAAAGTTGCATACACCATCATAAAGATTGCGGCTTTCCACTTTTGCAATATCCTGTCAGTGAGTGTACATTTTTGAGTTGTCTTGCAGAGAAGGAAGCAACAGAGCAGCATCATGATGTTCAGATACATCTTATTGCAACACAACACTTATCAAATGTTCTCTGTCATCATGAACCTGTCAAGAGATTTTTGTTGTTTGTTTCAAATGTGTTTTAAATTCCTGAACTGTGCAAGGCACGAGACTGGATAAGATGCCAGTAAACTCTTATACGCTTGGTTACAAATTACATTTTTAATATTTAGTTTGCTAAATATTGAGATTATTGATTTACGGACAACCTGTCCAGGAATTACTCCGCTGTTCACAGTGAGCGTGCACAAACTCACTTGTACACCAACGCCTAAATGCATTAATGATGATTTGCAACATATCCTACTACAACAGAATCTTGGTTTTCTCCATCACTTATAATCCTTTGGTGGATTTCTGCAGCTCTCCCGCCAGTCAGCAGCTTGTGGGTTTCCAGTTCTCTCCCGGTTATGAAAGGCCTTCTTGTCCAATGGGAGAACCCCAAGGTCCTGCCCTCCGTCCCGCCAGTCAGTCATCTTGCCATTCACTGGCGTTCCGAGACTCGTCCATCTACTAGCCGTGGGACCACAGTGGGCAACTTCACCACCTCCACTGTCATACAAGGTGTAATCAAATCCTGATCTTCCTCTGTTCCATGTAAATCTATTGTGAGCCTCACTGTTACACTAGGTAACACGTTCCTTTGTTACCATGAACACACACACTGGAATTTATTATTATTCCTGCTGCCACTTACAAGAGCACCAAATGTGGATAATCCACCACTGAAAGTAGTCCCCAAGAAAAGTACCATTTTGTATTTGTTTGATAAAAAAAACTAGTCACAAGCTGTTTTAGGATCACCAACATGCATTAAATGGTCATGGCCATTTCTACTGATCATAATTCCATTGTTGAGGTCTACTAGAATACATTTACATTGTTCAATGTTCCAAACTCACATTGGTTTCTCATACAGCATCTCTGTATAGTATGTGTATTCACTCTCTGTGCTAAACGGCCTGTTGGAGCTCCTGCCCCCCCCCCACCCTATGAGCCCACTGTGCTCTGATTGGTCAGCTCGCCCACTCTATTTTGATGAGTCCACCACCGTTACAGCTGAACATCAGTGTTTATGTTTTTCAATGGCGTTTGTTGGCAACCAGAAAGTGACACCAGTAATGACAAACAGATGAGAATGCTGCGTGGGGTCTGAGTGCCGTGTTTGCGGGACGATGCGGGGCTCGCTGCTCCGCCCTGTGGGGCTCGAGGAGCGGACAGTGAGAGCTGGATTACTGGTGTCGTTTCCTGGTTGCTGTGTGGGGTCTGAGCTCAGGCTGTGTGTGTGTGTGAGCTCCGCGGTGCTGGCTGAGTGTGTGTGTATTGGTCCATTTGGAGTCAATTGGTCCATTTGGACTTAGTGACGTCAACCTGCCCCGGAAGTATAAAAATGGAAAAAGAAAAATCTCCAACGAGGCGTTCTGGGGCAGCATAGAAACATATTTTCTGTGTTAGAGTTTTACTCCCTACAGGGTGTACTTTGAGGGTTTGTGACTTTGCAGACCGTTTACATGCAGAAAAAGCTACATAACAAGGGGACGGGTAATAACCAGAAAAATGAAGAGCTTTTTGAACATTAAAGCATGGAGACATGTCACAGCACTAAACCTGGAAATGTGCATAATAGCTCCCTTTAAGGTTAAGAACACCATGAACAGTTTGTTCCATGTACAGTATATCAACTAACAGTGTGTGGTGTGTTTACAGATGTTAACCCTGAGGACTCCTACCTGATTACTGTGTTCCCCGTCTATAACCAGCAGTGTGGATCTCCTCAGTCGCTGCCTGCCAGTCTGCAGCAGGGAGGTGAACATGGTGGTCATGATTGCATCCACTCTTTGGAACAAAGCAACATAATAATAAATGTGTTTTCTCAGCTCTTGTGGAGGCGGTCCAACTGAAGGTGGTGGGCGTGACCAAGACGACAGTAAAGGTGGAGTGGGTGTGGCAAAGGAAGGCTGGAACAGTCACAGAGAACAGATACAGAGTGATGCTGAGGAGAGACTCAGAGAGACAAAGTAGGTGTTCTTCTAAAACAGGGGTATTCAAAGCTATGATGGTGTCATCATGGAGGCAGCCATGTAATGCATTCTGGTAGCGTCATAATGCGATTCTAGACAATGTGCGTCATTTTGTCCACTAGTAGTTGGCATCAAGTTGAGGTATAGGCTACTTTATGCAAATCAGGGGCATCCAGCGCGACAGCTGCTTCTGGAAACTCCCAAAAAACGTTTTAATTTTAAAAACATGCAATCTGAAATTAAGAAAGATTTCTCCATTGCTTATTTCCCACATTTTTCAGAAAAAAAACGATTCCAGGTATGTTTTCGTTACACAAGAGATCATTTTTCCTAAGGAGTTCAGTTGGTGGTTTACAAGTCCCAGGAGGTGGCAAGAGCCCCTGCGTACAACAGCACCCCCTGAACATGTACAATTACTGTTAGCCCTAGCTGCTAGCATTGTTAGCTGATAGCCACCAGTTGAGAGCTTTGTGGAGGCAAACCTTCTACTGAAACATTGAAATACCTTTTTATTAGGAAATCCCATTTTGGTAATTTGCTCAAAACACACATTTTCGAATATAAAACGTAATGATATTATAAGGCGCTCAAAGTAGAAGAAGGTGAATTCAGACAAAGCAATATATTTCCTCACTGCTGTTTGGAAGCTAAAAGTGAATCCGTTGGTTCATTATTTTAAAACCTCAACTGTGAATGTTTCTCAAGTCACATTTCCAAGTTGCTTGACGACCCATCAGTAGATAAGAGCATGCATTGCTTTCTCCTTTTCAGCTCTGTCTCTGTGGCCGGACCAATGGCAGCTCACCTTCATCAACCTGAAACCCAACACTGAGTATTCTCTTCTCCTATTGGTTGATAATGCAACTAGAAACATCATCCCTGTGAAAACAAACGTTGGTGAGTGTAACTTGTTTTCTAAAAGCAGAATGCCATTTATAAGTCCCAGTGTATTTGAACTGTTGGATATTAAGAAGAAATCTCCTTTCCTAACACATGAATAAGGATAAGATATGATTTGTTGTTTAGAGGAGGATGTTAAGTCTGACCTTTTTTGCTATATGTGGTAGATTTTCTTTCCATCATGATCAAAGGGCTGATATAATATACCATTATTAGGATATAAGACATCATCTTAGATTTTGGATATCATAATATGGCATTATGGTCGTCTTTTCCTGGTTTTAAAGCCTGCATTAAGTTACATTGAATGTGAATATGCCAAACTGTTCTATATTTTCAACTTCAATCAGTCATTATATTATGATTAATTTCCCCAAATCTCATTGGGTAAAAAAATATTTTATATTTTATAAAGCACCAATAGTCAACCCTGCAATTCATTTGATAAAAAAAGATCAGTTACGATACCAGAACAAAATGTTCTCCCTAGTAGCAGTCCTACAAGCTTACAGACAATACTTAAACTGATATCTAAAATGCAACACTTAACATTTATTTCACATTCTAGCACCTAAATTAAAATGGACGAATGTATTCTAAGGGCCAAGAAATAATTTCAATAATTTAATTGAGTAAGTAAGATATCATCTAGCACTCAAATAATAAAATCACTTTGTTGTGTGCATTGCTATAATACTTTTCGACTTAAAGAATTGGCAAGGCCTGGAAAATAATTTCTGAACACTGAATGTCTACAGTGGCCGACAGGTGCTAACGCGCTACAACGTCGCAAAACACTTCCCTTAGGAGAAATGCGCTGCAGTTTCAAACAAACGATGCAAATATAAAAACACACATGGGCCAAAACACATGCGAATAAAGAAACCTCTTCACCAACTTGACGACACATGCGCAGCATTTAGAAAACATTCACCAACTTGAGGAAAGTGCGTAAAGTTTACTAAAAGCGCTGCATAAACAATGCACTGCAAATGAAAAATTCTGCAAGAACGTCAAAACTCAACGGCGGGACACGCAGAAGGGATGCACGCAGCTCAGCGCACTGGTTGACGTTCAGGGATTAGAAACTTGTCCGTTGTATTTTGAGCATCTGGCAGCGTTTAGTTTTTGCAGGGCTTTAAGTAAACCTTATTCAGACAAGACATCCAGGATGAAATATATTAATAAAATGACACAATTTAATTAATATGTGCTACGGTCCAAGCGTTTCTTGTTTACTGTGGTATCAGTGTGATGTCATTAGAGGAATACAAACATTTACACATAAGCCCTTTCTCATTTCTCAAATGTTTGCCTCCTTGACACCTCGAAATAGATTTCAGCGCGCCATCTTGAAGGACATCTGATTTCTCTAAATGAACATCGAGGATCGAGCATTGATGAGGCTCTCTGGATCACTCAATTATATATATTTATATATATATGGCCTAAATTACACTCTTTATTTGTAGGCTTCAGTAGATATATACAAATAAAGAGTAGATATTTTTCATAAAACCATAGTGCTTCACATAATAAAATATACAACGGCTGTAGAATAATATTATATGCTTTAGGAGCTCTCTCCTAGGGTCCCCTCCTCGACTCCTCCGCTCGCATCCCTTGTGGGCGGGACTAAGACATGAGGCTAGCAGTCGAGGAGGGGAAGATTGAGAAATTAGAAAGGGCTATAGTAATCCTTTGATTCTGACCTTACCATGAATGTTTCATTTCAGATGAGGTGCCAGCGGTGGCTACAGCAACACCTCTGCTGCTGCTGGCTCTTACTGTATTCATCATTTCAATCCTGTCCAGGACTGTGTAAGTCAACACACACACACGGTCACATCTGAGGGTTCCAATAAATAAAATGTGAATACTTACACATTCACTGGTTTGTGGCTGGTGATTGGTTGGATGCATTACTTTTACATCATTCTGTGCGCTTCATCGGCATCTTTATCATTTGGTCTGTCAATCAGTAATGGAAACATTGGTAAAAATGCTGATACAACATATCATATTATAATAATAGTGTTTACTATGATGACGTGTTTGGATTATTATTATATTCTGCTTTATAAATGTGTACGCTGCATTACACTGCTGTAGATGTTTAATGTGCTTTTATATTCTGTTGGGTATAAGCTACCGCAATGCATCATATACTTTAACATCATCACATGTTGGGAGCTTTGCCACTATCTTGTGAGAACCATATATCTCAGGAAAGTCAGCTTTTCATAAACTCAGAAATGACGGCAGTTTCAGCTTTGTTACATTGCATTTTCCCACTGATCATAAAGGGTTTTTAAAGTAGTTTATTACATTTCAAAACTAGGATTATATTTCTCTTCCTCTTTAACCCCTTTACTCTGCAGGTACAAGTGGTATTTCTTTCCGCCCATCCCCAGCCCTCGGGGCAGTACGACAGGCCAGTGGCTGATGGACCCTAATCACCATGTGAGTTATTAAAACTGCTGTGTTCATGTCTTTTTGATTCAGATCCAAACACGAAAAGGTTACAGAAACAATCCTGTCGTCTATGTTTCTCATATTCAGTTTAAAAGTTGTAAAGATATGTTAATTTCCCCCCAATGTTTTTCTGAACATAGAAATAAGACAGATTAATGCAAATGTTTAACATTTGTTTCGAACATTTTTCATTTTTGCGAAGTGTTATTCTTGTAATTTGTTTATTGTAAAAGTTGATTTTATGTTTTTTGAAATTGACAGACATTATTAAGCTCTTGATTTTCGTTACATTTACAACTCTTCACTGACAATTTATGATGTCCTATTGAAATATTTAACATTATTTAATCATTCGAGAAATCAGATAAAAAAACTGAAACACAAGACTTTTTTTTTGGAAAAACTATAATATATCTTTCCTGATTAAAATCCAATCAATTATTCCACTCAACAGAAAACTGCAGAGAGAAACATCCTTCATATTGAGGACTTCCAGGTGATGGATGTACTTGGTGAGAATGGTCTCATCATGATTGGACCAAACTTCAAGTCCTCCTATGAAGAGGACCTAAATGAAAACAACTCTCCGCTGTCAATCAGCCAACTCAGCACTAAACCGTCAGCCCTGGAAGTGGACACAGACTATATACCTGTTGCTCCAGTGACAACAGAACACCCACTCATTCCTCTCCAGTTCTATGAAGCTGACTATGGATTGAACTATCGAAAATGTGACAGAGTTTTCACATCTGAGGAGAGACGAGAGGCCGATGCTGCTCAACTGAGTCAAAAAAATGAAGCCAACGTCTGCTTTCCAGAGGTAGAGCACCGACCAGACGACTTTTCTGAGAGAGCCCATCAGGCAGAAGCCGCTCTAAAATTTAATTTTCCAGAATTAATGGCAAACAGCTGTGTTAATCAGATAACATGCGAGGCAGATTACAAGTCTTCCTTTCTGGGGAAAACAGATGTGTGGCCTGATTATACAGAAAACTGTTGCTTAACTTCAAAAACTGCAAATGAAGACTGAATAAACAACATCAGTGCTGCATGCTGAGTCAAAGGCAAAGAGGACTAGTAGAGATGAAGGTTAAACACATGCTGGTGCCTCCTAGTGGCTGTCATTTCCATTACACAGCAAAAACAAAAGCTGACCTTGAAAGTTGATTCGGCAGTACAATCCTAATTTTAAACTACAGAGCAAAGCACAATGGTCCTGTGCGATCAGGACAAGGGTTTGAGTACATTTGAGGCTCTAGCATGTTAGCTATCTGGGCTTTTAAAACAAATTGTATAAGTAGTTGAGACTTCTAGAATTCTCAGCCTTTTTTCTAAAAAAAGTAGCTAGCACTGTCTCAAAAGTAGGGCTGCTCGATTATGGCAAAAATCATAATCACGATTATTTGGGTCAATAAATGATATCACGATTATTAAAAACAAAAAATATTGGAGAAAAAAAATGTGAGCAGTATGTTTTTAACAGTGGATTACCCTGAACTTTAAGTATAATTCAACTGAAAAACCAATACAAAATCAATTGGCAACGTTTGTATGCAATTACACATTTTTACAGATTGCTCAATTAACCCGAATAGTTTTATATCCCAGTATCGCTGTTTTTGTCTAATTATAGATTAAAATGTTTTGCAAAAGTGTCCTTAACTTTGTACAGTTGCGTTACATTCAAACCATCATCACATCCCGAGTCTAAGCTCAAAGCTGAGAATCGGAAATGTAAAGGTTTATTGTTGATCATCTTTTCCATCTTGAAAAGTTCTGTCTTCGCCTTTATCTGCAAGTGATGTACAGACTACAGTTCTCCACATAGGAGCGGTGCGTTTCAATGATTTGGACTTAACGGTGAAAACAAACCACATTAACATACTGTGTCCTGTACAGCCCTCAGAATCGGGCTGTTACCTCAGCGGTAGTGTTCCTGGTTTGTTGTAATAGAGTAGCAACAGTTCTGACAGCTGCTGGTTCATAGATCCACCTTATGGTCTGGAGGTTTAGTGCTACAGGATGGAGGTCAGAGGTTAGAGGTCATGCCGATCCAGTGTCGGACCAGCTGGTGGGCGATGGTCTGCCTGGGAGGAACAGTGAAGGCTGGACGGGTTCCTCTGAAAGAGTCAATCACCTAAGCCAGGAACAAATGGATTTATAGTCAAACAGCAGTATTTTCAAAAAGAAAATATGTTCTATTCTTTTGCTCAGAAAACAGCAATATTGTTAACTGTAAACCTCTCCTCAGACTCCCCATCATCACTTCTACTCTGCTTTCACACATAAATACTCAACTTCCACCACATTATTCTGCATGACAGTCCAAGAAGAAAAATATGTTTTTTCATATTTTCCAAGCAGTGTTGACGATTCAGAAGAAGATTCATTTTGTATCTATAAACATTTTATTCACGTTATTCTTTTGTAACTGTGATGTGTGTATTAAATATTCTAAATGATTATACAATATTAATATTATCTTTATTTGTATTATGTCCTGTAAATGTAATAAAAATCCATTTCAATTTAAAAGTTCTCTAATATGTGCCACACATTTTTTTTTAAAATTACAAATAATGTAATTATTATCAGTGACAACAGCTGAACCATCTAAATGACAGTCCGAGTCATAACAATTATTATTATCTCAGTATTGTTATTAGTAGTAGCATCAGCAGTGTTTATAAAAGTAGTAGAATTTGTAATGTTTTAACCTGTTGCCGTGGAAACCACCGAGCTTCCTCGATCTCTTTCTCGTCCACTTTGATGTCAGTCGATATGGCAACAGACAGGCAGCCAATCATGAGACTGGAGGGCATCGGCCAGGGCTGGCAGGAGATGTACTGAACGGGCCCGACCTTCACTCCGCTCTCCTCCTCAACCTCCCTCCTCACCGCCTCCTCCAGCGTCTCCCCTGCAGGAAGGGGTCAATGTAAGCTTCTGTACGGTGGCCGACTGGTGCAAATGCGCTACAGCCCAAATCATTTATATTACAGGAAACGCATTGCCGGTAACAAAATTATGCAAATATAAAAGCACAAATGTCCCCAAAGACATCAAGAAACAGCTTCACCAACCAGACAAAACATGCACAGTATTTAGAAAAACATTCACCAACTTAGTTAAAGGGGACCTATCATACAAAATGCACTTTGTGATGTCTTTTATACATAAACATGTGCCCCCGGTGCGTCGGGGAACTCACGCAGCGTCAGAAAATAAAACCCTCTCTTTTCCTCCGTACCCAAATCTTTTAAAAATGGGTGTACAACGAGCGGATACAGATTCCATCCGAGGTGACGTCGGCGGACCCACAGAAAGTTGCTATCAGAAACAATGCCTGACGTGTTTTGGACGTCTTTGTTTACATTAGCAAGCCTCGCTAACACTCAAAGTTAACCTATACTGAAGAGCACATGTGTTTAAAAAGCAGGAAATAAAAAAGGAACTCACCTTGGGATAAACCTGCAAGAGAAAAGCATTTGAGCTCCTACTATTTCAGAAATAACCCTTGACGTGGTTTAAACAGGATGGCGTTTTATCACAGCAGAATTTAACTTTATCTCCGGTAGAATTCTGATCAGGCATTAGCTCCGCCTCCTCTTCTTTTTTTTCAAGCTAAGGACCCAAGATCCGCGTTTCTCTAACAGGGCTTCAAAACAGGGGTTTGAGCAGTATGAGGCATGGCAACAATGGGTGATCTGTTTGGTATTTTGAAAAAAAAACTTCACAGTCATGTTTTGTAGACATGTATGGCCCTACAATATATGTTTCAAATATAGCATGATAGGTCCACTTTAAGTGATGCACTCAGCTGGGACTGAAGCGCTTGTTGACGTTCAGGGATTCTAAAATTGGCCAACTGTCACTGGAAATGTACCTTAAATCTACGTGGTATTAGCTTATTTTAACAATGTGATCACACGATTCCTTCTGATATTATTGCAGATCTGCTGTAAGCTAGCTAGCTAACCTAGTGATTTAAAATATACTGACAAACAATTACAAGTATGAAACAGACTAACTGCCCACAGTGACTGATGGACAACTTTATGATCCTTGAGCGTCAACAAGTGCTCCGGTCCCAGCTGTGTGCGTCACTTTTTAATGTCCCCTGGTTTCCGTGTTTTGAGCTTATTCTGTTTTTTTTTCAATGCAGCGCTTTTAGTAAACCCTGCACATTTTTCTCAAGTTGTTGAATGTTATTCTAAATGCTGTGCATGTGTTGTCAAGTTGGTGAAGATGTTTCTTCAGTCCCATGTGTTTTGGCACATTTGTGTTTTTTCTATATTTACAATGAGTTTGAAAGTGCAGCACAAAGTGTTTTGGGTTGTTGGAGCATGTTTGCACGGGTCGGCCACCCGTTGGTTAGTAGCTTTTAGGGAGTAGATGTTACTGTTAAGGTTTATGCAAGTCAATGTAATGTGATGTTTACCAGGCTCTATGAATCCAGCCAGACAGGAGAACATGCCCGCAGGGAAAATCTTCTTTCTTCCCAGTAAACACTGGTTTCCATCAGGGTGGATCACCAGCATGATGACCACTGGGTCTGAAAACACACACAGTAAAGAGGAGCTCAATTTACATCTAACAATCTATCCAGCAAACTTGTGCAAAAATGCAAATGCAGAAAAAGTGTGCCCATCATTTGACTTATCTATTGTGCACACTGGATTTGCGACTTGAGAATCTGTACTTTGATTAGTCACTATCAAACAACATGAGACTCTTTCTATTTATAATGCCAAGTAATTTTTTTGGTTTGAGTAATGCAAAAGTAGTATTATCAGAAATGGATTACTCTACAGACAATAATATTGATTGTAATTTACAATCTCCAATTAAAGTTATATGTAACAGATTACATTTTCATATGAACTTGCCAAACACTAACTATATACCTTTACGAGTATCAGTCATCGCTAATCTTAAAGTATGTAAGCAGGTGTTAGGGCACATTTCTTGTGATGTTAATGTTGATTTTCAGGTAAGATAATTGTACTCAGGTTTAGGTATTCAACTAACTCAGATAATCTACTAATGGAATGTAGGAAAATAGTGAAATATCCCCTTACAAGTTCTCAGAGAGTTTAAATATTTTGTCCCATTTTTTAACCCAAAGTGTTCACTTTGCTTTCATAAAGTCCAAGAAATCGAGCAAATATAATTATTTAAGAAGCTATTTTTGTCATATTTGCTTATATTACTAATCTGATCATTACAATTATAATAAATACTGGATTAATTGACTTAACGTTTTGGCTTTGTTCAGGTTTAAACTGCACTCAGATCTGTGATATTAGCTCCCTGACTACAGTCACAACATCCTAGAGCAGAAAAGCTTGATTTTTAACCACTTGAAAAATCCTGCTTTCATAGGTGAAAGTGTTTTCAACCACACATGACCTGCACATTGTACATGCTCCCTCCTGTGCCTAAATGCATGTGTCAATGGAATCTAGATGTGTGCCCTACACAACTTTTTTTTTTTGCACACAGCTAATAATGTGCAGTTTAAAGCATTCATTAAAGCTGATTAGGTTTGGAGCTCCGTACCGACGCGTGGGTAGCAGGTGTTATGAACCCCCTTGAGGCTCCTGCAGTCTGAGTTCAGGCAGCTCCTCTTGTATCCTCCCTCCTTCGACCGGGTGCTGCTGCCACATGTCGGACAGAAGCTGTAGCGGCTGTGCCAGGCCAACACCGATCGAGCTTGAGCCACAACTCCTGCACGACCAAGAGAGGGGACAGGGGTTATTCAGTTAGTTCAGTCATGGTAAGTCTGGGGGGTCAGTTTTGATATGGTCCACAGATTCAGTTTTATAATGTATTACTTATGGCCCGTCAGCGCTGTCAAACAGACTACATATACATGTTAAAAATGCAATTTCTCTTGTCACAAGGTGACAATAAGGAGAGCTGATAACCAGTTTCAGGAAAGATGGAACTTGAAGCTACCTTACCTCAAAGCTATAAAATAGCATATAATGAACATAGTCAGATAAAGTACAAGTACCCCGAGATAGAAGTACAGTACATGAGTAAATGCACTACAATTTGTGGCTAAAGCTTGCAGGCCGATTACCGTAAATTAAATTCCCATTTAAAGGTACATTTAAAACGGATAAAAAAAGTGTGATTTTTTTGCAACTAATCACAAGTGGAAATCATCCGTATGTTTGCCATTAGATATTTTAATTGAATGTAAGCCCGAATTTGTATATAGCTTTTATGGTTCAGAAGATATCTTTGGTAAAGAAAAAGAGACTGCATCTTCCTCACCTGCCTCTTCCTCGCTGAACTTCAGCAGGTCTCTGTTGAGCGTCTTTGGGAAGCAGCAGTTCTTTTCTCTGCAGCGTTTTAGAAGTTCAGCAGTGTCTTCGTCAGTGTTGATGGCAAACCAAGCAGGAGGCTCCCGGACACCATCCACTGTGTGAGAGGAGGGCTTCTTCCTCCTCTCTACCCCCAGGAAGATGAGCACAGTGGCAGGTTTCTGGAGAAGATCTTTAACTGTCTCATATCTGAACCGACACAGCTGGTTCTCACCCTGTTGGAATCACAATCATTAGAACATTTTTTTGAATCTTTGAAAAAGACAAACTGACTAAAACTGTCACGTCATCAGGGCCGCCTGAATGCACGGGCTGACCTGGGCTGAAGCCCAGGGGCCTACGGAGATTGGGGGCCTATCATGAGCCAATACAAAAAAATTAAAAAAAATTAATTTTATTTCGGGTGTTTTATTTTTATTTTAAATAAACAAAGTCTTGACTTTCAGAATATGAAACTTGTATTTCCAAAATCACACGATAAATACATTTTTGAAGCTTGTAAAGGGAAGACGACAGCTCTCCCTCGCCACTCTGCTCTTCCGCAGCGCCGCTCCCCCTCCCTCCGGCTGACATTATGAATGTAAGAGTATAGTAATCATAAATAACACGGCAGGGTCCATTACAGTTTGTTTTCATCTGATTTCAATTAAACAAAGTCTTGGCTTTCAGAATATTAAACTTGTTTCTGCAAATTCAGATGATAAATACAACTTTGAAGCTTGTGACGGCATAACTTTGAAGCTTGTAACGGCATAATTACAAGCGGAGAACGGAGTAACTTGACGTCACAGCAGGCATAACAACAGCCGGTGTTTCTCGTGAGGGTTTTCCCCGGGAAACAAACAATACACACGAACGCAAAAATACACAAACACACACACACACAGGTATACACACACACACACACACACACACACTTGCGAGCTTCCCCCAGACCAGTAATCCAAATGAAAATATCTTCCCTCCATACTATTTTGATAATTTGCTCCGCTAATCAATCAGATCGATGGATTCCAGAGATTTTTCTCAAACATGATGACTCTGAAACAGTCAGTGGGCACCACTTAACAGCCAATCAGAATGAGAATATGTTTCACATGTGACTTATTCAAATTGTGAGTGATTGAGTGACAGATGAAGGTTGTTTAGGAGAACATTTTGGAGAAGAAAAAGTTTGAGAGTGGCGCTCGGAAAAGGAAACCTAACACTGATGTCAATTGAGCATGACATGGATTTTAAGAACATCATAAAGGCTTTTTCTTCAAAGAAAACCAGACGGAAGCTAAAGAGGTAAGGCAATGCTGCACTATTCCCAGTAGCCTGCGGGTTTAAATGTGCATCGTTTTACATAACTAGGTTTGTGTTAATCCACCGGAGATAATGATCATTCTCATCTACTGATACCTGGCATTGAGGCCATATGTTGCTGTTCATGGTGCTGAATTAGTGGTGTGTGTGTGTGTGTGTGTGTGTGTGTGTGTGTGTGTGTGATCACAGAGCCTGCCGAGGCTATAAATGACTTTGATTTGTTGTTTAAATAGGGGGCCTACAAAACCATCAGCCCCAGGGCCTGATGGCAGGTTAAGGTGGGCTTGCACGTCATCGACAGGAGCTATTGACTGCATGCAACAAACATAACACCACTGAAATGACAGGAAAGCGAGGAATGTGTGCATTGAGAAGAGAACAATCAGGATGAATTAGGGAGTAATCCAGGCTGGACTTCTTCAAGGCATCTGAAATATTGGATCCTGACATTATTTTACATGTACACATCTTGATTGAAATGTGGGTCTTTTGTCAATAAATTAATTTCCTTATCAACCACAGGCTACTTCTTTACAGAGATGCTATGGTATTTTACTGGGCAATTCATTTTCTGAGCTGTCCAAAAACGTAAGTTTTGACTCATACTAAATCCATCTGAATCTACTCCATTTTAGAAAAACTCAAAGTTGTTTCACTATATAGGGCAAAAACAAATAAACCATGTAGACTGGAAATAGCTTCTTATAGAGGCATCCTCTACTTCTAAGTTAAACTAAAGGAAAGTTTTCCTTAATGCTTTAAGGCCTAATCTACTTCTTATTACCTAATAAAGATAGCTTCTGTATTCATAAAAATGACTTTTTGAACATTAAAGCATGGAGACATGTCATAGTAGAGGCACTAAATACAAATATGAACCTGAAAATGAGCATAATAGGGCCCCTTTAATAAGCCTTTGTGTGGTTTGTACTTGGGATACTTAACAACAAACTATGATTGTTTTCAGATGGGTACAGCTGAATGCTTTACCAGCTAAATCTGCATTCACATGAAACACGGTAAAAGCTTAACGGATCACCAGAACTATCAGTTTCAACTAAAACAGATTACCAACATTTGCCTCAGGTAACATACCCCTGCATTCCGGTCCTCCAGTGGGCTGCTGACCATGGGGCTGCAGTTGGAGAACAGGAGGTAGACTGTGTTTGGGTCGCTCTGTTTATCCTCCAGCCATCCCTTGTCGGTCCTCTTGGCACTGAGCCGGTCCAGCGTCTCTCTGCTGAAGTAGTTCTCCTGCTGGTGGAGGTCAGCCCCCGGCAGCACCCGCTGGCACCTGTCATCAGTATGGCCCAGCAGGTTGGAGATGTGTCTGTGGCCCCAGAACTTGGCGATATCGTAAGCAGTCTGTGACGAGCTGTTCACGGAGAACTTGTCACAGCTTTATAGAACAAAAACAGAGATAGAGATTTTAGGTGAAGTAATGCATCTGTAGTGTTTGTGTTCCTAAGTGAAGTGGAACACAAAATATTTGGAAATGTGCTGCACTTACACGGAAAACGATATGTCATTTAATCAAAACAGATACAGTACATAGGGATGAAGATAAACGTGTTATTTACCGTTTACTCGAGTATTTCCATTTCCTGTGAAAAGTTCTGTACTTTTTTTGCACCACATTCATAACTTAAACTGCTTTGTAGATTCACATTCATTGTAAAAAATGTGACCAAGAAAATAATTATGATAACCCTAGCCCAAACATTATACACGTTTTTGATCCCTGGTGGAAAATTCACAAGCTACCCTTTGGTATATAAAGTAATTAAAGTCAGCTCGGGCTTTACCAGCTGCAACATTAGAGGGATTCATCCATTAACGCATCATTAATTACAATTTTAATACAGATGTAGCACCTCATTTCAGACTCCAGCTTACACCTTCCTGCCTACGACCTGCCTAAGACCAGTATCGAGGAATGTTAAGCCCTCCCACTATTTTCCAAGAGGGCGTTGCCAGATTTTCAATTTCAGGTTTTAACCAGGAGATGGCGCTTCATTCACAAATACAGAAAGACAACTTTCAGCACTTTCAGTTGTGTTTTGAAGAGCATTTGAACACATATTTTAGATCAAATAAAGTATATCTAATCTTGTAATTCAATAATATATAGTCTTTATATATTAAATAATCATAATAATAAAGTAAATGTTTACATTACACTTCTTTATTTGTTATGCTCATACTTTTACCTTTACAATCGTTTGCTTTAATATGCAGTATATTTTTTGGATATTTTTGTGTTTGCTTCCTCCTGCTCCCTTTCGGACACATACTGTATGATTTATTATTATTATTAATATGAAGATATTATTAAGATAAGATAAGATGTTACTTTATTGATTGAACATTTTAGTTTAGAATGTGCTGTACCACGGTAATTCAGAAGGCTCACAGGTCACATTCCGACCATTATTTAAAACAATACTGTATGTGCTTTCCCACCGTCTAAAGTTTGATTTGTATAGAGGGAGCTCTGTGGTTGATTGGCCGGCGATTAGGTGTGGCGCATTTATAGGTGATCAGAGCTAACTGCCTGCCGTCAGATTTCATTTAAAAAACAGGTCTGATTTTAAGCTTTTATCTTCAGTAGACTCGACTACTGCAATGGTGTCTTTACAGGTCTCACTAAAAAATCTATTAGGAAGCTGCAGCTGATTCAGAACGCCGCTGCTCGAGTCCTCACTAACACTAAGAAAGTGGATCACATCACTCCTGTTCTGAAGTCTTTACACTGGCTTCCTGTGTGTCAAAGAATAGATTTCAAAAATACTGCTGCTGGTTTATAAAGCACTGAATGGTTTAGGCTCAAAATACATTTCTGACCTCCTGCTAAATTATGAACCATCCAGATCTCTCAGGTCTTCAGGGACTGGTCAGCTTTCTGTCCCCAGAGTCAGAACTAAACATGGAAAAGCAGCGTTCAGTTATTATGCTCCAAATATCTGGAACAAACTCCCAGAAACCTGCAGGTCCGCTGCAACTCTTACTACTTTTAAATTCAGGCTGAAGACTTTTCTTTTTGTCGCTGCTTTTAATTGAACTATTCATATCTTAGACTGCACTGTAACTTTTATCCATGTATTTTTTCTTTTAATGTTTATTATCTTTTCTTTTTAATGACTGATTTTAAATGCCATTTTCTTAATGTCATTCATTTTTTGTAAAGCACTTTGAATTGCCGTGTGTTGATTTCGTCTTTATTATTATTATGAAGATATTATTAAGATAAGATGTTACTTTATTGATTGAACATTTTAGTTTAGAATGTGCTGTCCCACGGTAATTCAGAAGGCTCACAGGTCACATTCCGACCATTATTTAAAACAATACTGTAGGTGCTTTCACACCGTCTACAGTTTGATTTGTATAGAGGGAGCTCTGTGGCTGAATGGCCAGCGATTAGGTGTGGCGCATTTATCATAGGTGATCAGAGCTAACTGCCTGCAGTCAGATTTCATTTAAAAAACAGGTCTGATTTTAAGACTATTTCTGCGCTCATAAAGAATGATAAGAATAAGAATAATGCGTATTGAACTGGTTTCATTAAGTAGTGAGTTTATTTTACACTAGAACCGCCAATCGGGTCAATTTGTGTGGTGTGTGTGCAATGTAACTTTTTTTCAATAAAATATTAAAGTCTCTTACAGTTACTTTCGTAAACCTGAAGTGAATACATTTTGGATTACTTATTGGAATTATTGGTGGAAAGATTTCCTCACAACATTTAATATTCATTACTAAAGGAACAGCCAAATCATCACAGCGCACAAAACCTATTACCGCTGCAGATGGACCAAAAAAGGGAGCGTTTGAATAAAATGTGCGGGTCCGCTCAGTGAAACAATAACAACGAAACATGGAGGAACAAAAGTCTGCGTTTAAACCTAGTTAATTTAGCTGCTGGAGAAGAAAGATCAGGGGGGGAGAGAGCTGTGGTTGATGGGCCATTAGCTGGCCATTAGTTGTGTAAATACACAGCTGAGAGCTGCCGTTTCATTCATGCCCCGGCCACACGAGGACGAAAACGGTCGTTTGCGTTACTGTTTAGTGTCATATAGACCGTTCGGCCACACGAGGACGACCGAATACGGCACTAAACGACTGCGTAAACGATAACGGGTCCCAAGGTGGATAGAACGGCATACGCAACGCTCTGGGGGGTCCAACGGCTCCTTGTGTACGCCCTATACGATAATTTTCTGATAATGATGAGGCAATAGCCCCGCCTCTCCCCACCTCTGCTGCTCACCCCCGCGTCAAAGTAAACTGCACACTGAATTCAGATTATTTATCTTTCTCTCGATATGGACCTAAACGCGAGTGAAGTCTAATCTGACAGGACGGAGACACGCAGCTCTGCTCACCTGCAGCTCCTCCCGCTGTGATGCGGCGGTGAACGGAGTAAAACACACACTTCAAGTCCGATCATCACCCTTAGCTATTTTAATTACCTCTCAAACTACCTAAACTAGATATAAATATGCTTATTTTTACTGTAGGCCGGGTCACTCATTACTGGATCAGCTGTTGCATGAAACAGACACTGGCGCTGTCCGAAGAGAGGGAGGAAAAAGAGAGGCTCCGTGTATTTTATTATTATAATATATAGATTCGTTATTCATTTGTTTTAAAAGCTCAATAAATAACAAAGAAGACCTTTGACCGGCACTTTTATAATTTTGTCGGAAGATTTAAACTTTAATACACGTTGACTGGCGAGAAACTCTGCCCGGTTCCCTCGGCCCCCACCGCGGAGAATAAACAGAAGGGCAACCATGACAACCATGCTTCTTCGCTGCTTTTGTGGAGGAAGTTACAGCGCCACGTACAGGCTCCTGCATATGTACTGCAGCTTCTCCAGCGGTTGGAGCTAAACGGAGCTGTCTCGTGTGGACAGACACTATCCGGATGACTATTGCGTGTGGACGGAAGCTTTTTTGCGATTGCGTTTGCGTTAATCCTATGCGTTTAGCCGTTTTCGTCCTCGTGTGGCCGGGGCATGACAGACTGTTTAAAACACGGTTTGCTTTCAATGTGGTGAAGCAGCATTTGAGTGATATACCCAATATCTTTTTTGGGAGTAAATATTTTCAGTTTTTCTCTTCATCTCAGCTCTGTAGGCCTACCCATGTGACAACAGCGCTTCCACCACAGGGTAATGCCCGTTGCGAGCGCCGAGCATCAGCGCTGACCAGCCGCTGTACCCTGTCTGGTTGATGAGCGAGGGGCTCTGGGACAGCATCGTGGACACCTGGATCATGTCTCCTCTGGCAGCGGCATCCAGAAACCTCTCCACCATCTCCTCCTTCGCACTCAGCTGGAGGCTCGTCATTCCGGCTGCCTTTAAAAAAAGAGCACATTTTGCCAAATAAATGTTCACTGTCAGTGTTTTTACTATACGATGTTTTTGTAATAATATTACTGCTGAATAATCTGTAGATTTGATTAGATTAAATTCAACAACATTTTGACACAACAGGATTCGGAACACTTGAAGAGGAGTTATATAAACATATACATTTTAATATACTTTGACAAATTTCAAAATGTTGCTTTAGAAAAGCTAAACACATATTGAATGAAGCAAACCGATTTCGTTTAACCAGTTAAGCCCTGAGCCTGTTTTTCAGGTTTCAGGCTCGAAAATGCCAATAACACAACAAATGATATATCTTCACTTCTAAAAGGGGTAAATTAATAATTATTTTTCTCAAAGCAAGGTTACATCTGTGAGTTGGATGTAGAAGTGTCAGAATCAATATAGATGTTTTTATTTTAAAGTAAATTCAGATGGAACATAGTAAAAACATGTAAATTCTAATGTCCACCTAAAAAAAAACCTTTACTTATAGTGAAAACCACCCTTGCATGATGGGTTAGTAGACTAAAAGCTTTAGGAATCCAAACTATAACATATAATAAGTACCCTGTATCAAGATTGATGCAAAACAAGTGAAATTTGACCTTTTTAGAGAGATTTAGAAAAATAAAGTCCAAGCGGACTCACCTCTGGGTAATTTGGGAACCATCGGTTCCATTTGAACTTTTTCACTGTAAAAATCATTTTATTACTTTGAATTATCACTATAGGTATTCATTCCATCCAAATACAACTGTTGTGAAAAACAAAACAAAAAACAAAACATAGGCCTACTCTGTTATCCTCTGAATTAGCCCCGAGCGAAAAATGCTAACCTATTACTGCACCGAAAATCACTCCTCGCTCCCTTATTACTTATCCTAGCTGCACATCCAGCACATTGTTTATGATCGCAAGGAGACACAGAATCTAACGGTGCCCACCTCAACACTGAAAGATACAAACTCGCGACGTTATCAACAAAAACGTACATCAAAACAAGTGGCGCTAGCTACTAACATGCGCTAGGCTAACAATGACTTACCTTCCTCGTTGTCTGGTCTAAACTGGTCTTCAATGGCATTAAAACGATAAAAACGATGATGTAGTTAATCCATAGATTAATATCCAATGGGGCTGTGTCCCCTTTGAAATGTTCTGATAATCTATAAGCAATAAAACTGCAATTCCGTTATCTGCTGTCCGCTCTGTGCTCCGTGCGCTCTGGGTCCTGCTGCATTTCCTGCTTCGTTACGTTGTAAACAATAAATGAAGTCGGCTGCATAATGTTGTTACGCTGGCTGGCATTCTTTATACTTTACGCAGGACCATATCTCTGGAACCCATTGGTCGATTCGTGTGATTTACACCTTTTTCTTAACCATCAGAACCAATAGAATCGATGGGCAGTTCTCAAATCTACGTAAACATTACCATAGCGGACGTAATAGAGAAGCAAACGAAGCATATCTGAAAGTGCAAGCCTGGACGGCAATACTTTATACCGAGTATATTGCCATAAATATGATGATTGATTATCAGTAAAAAATTCTACGTGACACAAAGACATTGGATTAACCTTGAGATGCGTTTTTATTCCGTTGAACACAACTTTTGATCACAAATAAAAAAAGGTAAGACGTAATTATAGAGAGGCGAAGTCCCTCCCCTTCCGGGAGCCTCCATGGGACCCCGGAAGCGGAAAATTATACATTGAAGTCAATGGAGAGAGAAAGGTTATCTTTTGATCCCGTTTGAATTGTGCCACGAATGACACATATGATGTTTGTCAATTTAAAAGAACATTTTACAAGTCAAAAAAATAAAAATGTGTCGTAAAACTGTGAAGTTACACATTTTTTTGTGTGAAACCGCTCAGTGAACTACAGGTCTCTGGTCTCGCACAAAACGCGTCACCATCACAAAGACGGCCGTCACGTTAGCAAATATCACCTGTTTCTTTCAGAATGAGGCGAAAAGTAAAACGAGGTGAACATCACTACAAGTCTGGGCATGTTGAGAGCTGTACATACACGAAAGGGGGATTAGTCGGTTCTGTAAGAGCAGCGGGACCGGCTTTACAAGGTTTCGGTGAGTATTATGAGTGCAATGTGTAACGTTAATGTCAGCTAGCTAACATTAGCTAACAAGGTACACTAACGTGTTTTGTTTTAGTAACTAGTTTTCTTCTTAAGAAATTCGTGGTCTCTGTGTATGCTGTGGATAACATTAGTGTTCACAAGAACAAGGTACACTCCCGTGTTTTGTTTTAGTTGCTCTTCAGATTGAAGCGGACAGTTTTATATCGACTATACTGTATGTGTGATCTCCTTTTTCTCGTTGTGTCATTTGAGTTTATTTGCTGTGTGTAGATTCAAGGATTTTGGTTATCTAGGCACAGCTGTGTGTGACTCCCTCTGGTACACTGGTATGTGTTTTCCTAATGTAGAGAGCATTGATTAATTAATAAACTACACACTGAGTCTAGATCCTGACCAAATCCTTTTTTATTGTTGATCAAATGTTTTTCAAAAATGTATTCATACACATTTAGAAAAATACAATGTACAATCACAACCAATACAGCACAAATTACAATAAATACAGAAAAAACAAACAACAATAATCAGACAACAGGACAAAACTATGGAAAAATAAACCCTCCCACCCCCAGATCCGGACCATCCTTGTATTATTGCTCATTCAATCTATTATAGCATGCTAACAAATTGTACTTACTTTATTTTTACAGATCTGCATGGGAGACGATGGCGCGATGCAGAGCGCTGTCTGTGATTGTGCACGGGGGATGTACAAATGCAGCCACGCTGCAGCATTGGCAATATTTGCCATGTGGCAGATCAGCTCCACAGATATTGAGTGCCAGTGGAGGAAGCCTGGCACTTAAAAAGTAGTCCAGCCGGTGTCTCAACTTTACCAACAGCGAGAGGAGACATACAACCCACTGGCCAGAGACATCGCCAACTGTCAACTGGGGGGTTGTAAACGAGGCCGAAGGGGTGAAGGCTTTTGTGGAGGCCTATCGGGTGACAGTGTTCGAATCGAGTCTGGTCTCTTTGTGAGTGAGTCGGGTGTTTTGGGAGCATCACCCGATGGGCTTGTGCAGCCATCTGCCCTGCTGGAGGTGAAGTGTCCACACAGCCAGAGGAACATGACCATCGCGGAGGCAGTCCAGTTACCATCCTTCTGTCTTCGTGAGGAGGGTGGGTCATATATTCTCAAGGAGAATCACCCATACTGGCACCAGGTCCAAGGGCAGCTGCACATCACAGACCGGAGTCTCTGCTACTTTGTTGTGTGGACCACGAAGGAGGCGATCATCATCCCCATCCCCAAAGACCCTGCATGGCATGGAAATCTCCTCCTCCTGGAAAAATTCTACACCCAGCATATGCTCCCTGTGTTGGCCATAGAGGAGGACATTTAAATAAACATACTCTTAACACCCTCGGACTCTGCGTTGTGTTTCGTATGTGTGATGGGGTGTTATGCAGAGGGGAGGAAAACAGGACACAGCAGATTGGGATTGTGGTGGAGATGCTGAGCAGTTATTTAATTGTTGCATGTAATTATTATTATACTGCGTGCTTCTTAGTTATTCCATCTTTTGCTGTAAAATGGATCTGTATGTAACTCTATATTTACTTGTTATCTACCAAACTTCCTTCTACATCATACACCATCATTATACATGATGGTGTATATAGGAGATATATATTTGTATACATATCTGTAAATTGTATAATTTTATTTAAACATCTTTTTGATCTCTCTTTCTATAAACACAAACTGAGTAAGATTGACAATAAAGTTGACTTTGAAACATATATATATATTTTCTTTATGAAAATAGTTGACTGTTGTCAAATGAATCCAAATGAAACGTTGGACTGAACTACAACTACGCCTTTAAATCTCTACGGACTGTTTTTCAGTGGGATGGCAAGTTCCTATCTTTAAACATTTATTAGTTTTTTCTCAGAACAGATTTGATTTTCTGAAGTTAATTTAACTTTGCCGACCATGTAAGGTCATTATTAAAAGGTACAATCAATTTGTTTAGGGTTGACTAAAATAATGAAAAACATTTAATTTGGATAATTTACTGACAGAATAAGAAACTCAATGATGCTCTACTCACCTGTTCCCTTTTTATAAAGTGAAACAGTTGAAACGATAGATTTTAGTAAACTTAAAAACAACCTTCTCCAAAAGCTATCAAGGAATATACCGAATACTTGTTTTAGAACTTTATTACATATTTTTATATAAATAGTTTGAATGATCCATAATTGACAGAAGCTTGTGTTTACACTGACCTGTTACTCATATATTAATGTCTTTGTAACTTCAGTAAACCATCCATCCATCCATCCATCCATCTTCTTCCGCTTATCCGTGGTCGGGTCGCGGGGGTAGCAGTTCCAGCAGAGAGCCCCAAACTTTCTTTTCCCTGGCGACATCAACCAGCTCTGACTGGGGGATCCCAAGGCGCTCCCAGGCCAGCGAAGAGATATAATCCCTCCACCTGGTCCTAGGTCTACCCCTTGGTCTCTTCCCAGCTGGACGTGCCTGGAACACCTCCCTAGGGAGGCGCCCAGGTGGCATCCTAACTAGGTGCCCGAACCACCTCAACTGGCTCCTTTCGACGCGAAGGAGGAGCGGCTCAACTCCGAGTCCCTCCCTGATGACCGAACTTCTCACCTTATCCCTAAGGGAGACACCAGCCACCCTGCGGAGAAAACCCATCTCGGCCGCTTGTATCCGCGATCTCGTTCTTTCGGTCATGACCCATCCTTCATGACCATAGGTGAGGGTAGGAACGAAAATAGCCCGGTAGACAGAGAGCTTTGCCTTCTGGCTCAGCTCCCTTTTCGTCACAACGGTGCGGTAAAGCGACTGCAGTACCGCTCCCGCTGCTCCGATTCTCCGGCCCATCTCACGCTCCATTGTTCCCTCACTCGAGAACAAGACCCCGAGATACTTGAACTCCTTCACTTGGGGTAAGGACTCATTCCCTACTTGAAGTGGACAGTCCATCGGTTTCCTGCTGAGAACCATGGCCTCAGATTTGGAGGTGCTGATCCTCATCCCAGCCGCTTCACACTCGGTTGCGAACCGATCCAGTGAGTGCTGAAGGTCGCAGACCGATGAAGCCATTAGAACCACATCATCTGCAAAAAGCAGTGGTTCAATCCTTAGTAAACCACTACCTCACTAATTTATTTCATTCATCACGGTTCAGTAAACTAAGTGATACATGAACCAGTTTAATCATTATAATAACGTAGGATTGCAACTCTTTGAAACTGTTGGTGGCTCTTAAAAGAGCCGTTGTGTTTGGGTGTGCTGGTCTCAGGTCAGTCTAAGCCCTCTCTCCGCGGATGCGGCGGGCCAGCTGGATGTCCTTGGGCATGATGGTGACCCTCTTTGCTTGGTTCATCTTACTGGGGGGCAGCTACATGGATGTCGGTGCAGTCCACAATCATTGTGCAGTTGAAGGCAGAGTGAATTTATTATTGACTCAGAATGAAGCACAACTTCATGTCATACAATACAATGACTTTATTTGTAATTGTGTAAAAAAATATGAGCATTGATTAGCAAGCAGGACCTGCAGGAACAGAGAATGGTGATGGATGGAGCTGGGAAGAGAGAAGAATAAAGAAAACAGATCAACTTTATTATCGGATATTAAAAATTCAATTTCAAAACAAGTTGCCGCTCCTACAGTTTTCTAGTATGTAAAGATGATTTCACATGACCTATGCAAAATATCACACTCAATACATGTGTGTCTCTGGGGGGTGCATTGTGCCTTTGATGTATATAAATAATATACCATAACCAAATACTATTACTACAGTGGAAATCAGGTTGCCAGAGCAGGTCAGTGTGCATGTTCCTCAACGTCTCAGCAGTTACAGGTGAGGTAAAGAAAATAAAAGAGAAAAAGGTCAGTAACAACACTTAGTTTAAAGTAACAACACTTAGTTTAAAGTAACAACACTTTGAATAATGATCTCTTCTAACAATTTTCTCTCAATAAGCACACAACGACTGTCTTTCCAACAAACAGATTGTCATCACAATGAAACACGTCCAGAAGAATGACATGCAAAGCTCCCTGCCTGCCTTCGACTCTCCCTGAACTGCTTCCTTAGCACCCGGTGGAGGGAGCAGTAGGCTACTCTTCAAAAGTTTCACGAAATACTTACCATCATGTTTGGTTACTGTTTAACATTTTGGTTTACTTCATGTAATAAAATAATAACTTCATGGTAAGGCTACTAAAAATGACAAGGCTAAGTAATGTAATGCTAACTAACGTGCTCGCTACTCGTCGCTACTAGCTAGGTAGCTAACTTGACTATGTTCCATGCACAACATGTATATTACCTATGATATTACCTGATATGTCTGATCCAGCGACTCCTGGTCCTTTCATCAGACGGGAAGCGATAGAACGAGCAAGTGGTATGATCACTTTTGTGATTACAACCTGGTACAAAGCACACAGGCATCTTGTAAAAGTGAACCAACCACTTGGAGCATTATCGCCGGTGACATCACTTACGCGACCCAGAATGGGATTTGGGATTTGTAGTCTTTGTAGTCGCGTATTTTTCATAGTCTTATATTTCAACAGTTTTACGACAAAATGTGACTTTTTTGACATGGAAATGATTGTTTAAGATTGACAAACATCATATGTGTAGTTCGTGGCACAATTCAAACGGGATCAAAAGATACGTTTTCTCTCTCCATTGAATTCAATGTATAATTTTTCGCTTCCGGGGTCCCATGGACCGGAAGTAGATGGGCGTGACTTCGCCTCTCTATTGTAATATTTTTGGAACCGGATGTTGTTTACTTTCTCTTTTCTGGCTGATAGCTCCAGGAATTCGAGGTCTTACAGTGATGACATTACATGTGTGGAATCTGTGGAGTCTCAGCTTTAAATCGTATATCTTGTTTGTGCAGTTAAGATAGTAATAAGGGCATTTCTACCGTGTATTGTGTGTAAAAAAGCGTTAGCATTAGTTAGCATTTTTTCGCTCAATGCTAATTCAAAGGCTTGGTATTACTCTTGTGTTTTTTTTAGCTAACAATTGTTCTTATTGTCAGTTAGCGGAGTTTCTTACCTTTAAAAGGGTATGAAATATTAATAGTTTAATAAATGTTAAGAAGCCCTGAGACATGTGAGAAAAAAAAAACTGTGGGAGGGGTCCACTGGGGAGACCTTCGGGCTTAACTGGTTAACCACTACCTATAATACTTACATTAAAAAATGAAAATGTTAACATTAAAATGACTGTGCCTTTAAATATGTATTCTCCCTCACCCTTACTGGTGCAAACAGCTGTCAATCAATCTTAGGTTACGCCACATAACACGCTACATAACATTGTTACAAAATGCATCAAACATGAACAGCTTGCAAAACAGTCTACACGTGTTTCGGCTTTAATATTCACATAATGAATAAGGCGAATCAATGGTTACAGTGTTCACTACAGAATAATGATATCTAAAGCGATACAGCACTCACGACAGGTAAATCAGTGTGACTGTAACATACGGCATGTTACCTGTGAGGTCAGTTATGATATTACGGTAATGTATTTTTCACAGCTGGAAATCACACTGATATCAGCCTGTGTGTTTGATTACCGAAAACTCAAGAGGGCAGATAACGTTAGTTAAAGTCTTCCGGTCTGTCTGATCCCGTCTATGTCCTGGAAATAATATTACGGTTTATTCCTAACATCAGTGAACACAGCATTTGTAATATTAATAATAAAACAAGTCTCACCTTCTTTAAGCTCAGCTCCTGTGTCTCTTCTGTCCAGAGAGTAGTTATGTTGAATAAAAGGTCACGAGCTGCGTTCAAGAGCGACACCGACGTTGTACAACTGTGCTGCCTTCAGGTGATCCTTAAACTACCGTATTTATAACACTTAGAGCGACAATTTGCCACTTTGTTTTTCTAACAAAAACGCTTAAGAGTTAGAATAGACCCATATCTGTACATTTCTAAAAATGTACTGTTTGTTTGCTTTTATGTTTTTATTACCGTTAAGTTATTTTTTTTTAAGAGAATAATGTAAAAATAAACCTCAAATACTGTATATGAAAGGTGATTTTTATTATTTGTATATTTAATTGTAACTTTTTCAAGCTGTTGTTCATACAATAATATTTTAGGGTGAAAGTTGCTCTTTTCCAAGGAGTCTCTAAATGCAGCACATTTTGCACTTTGCACCGGCTTTCAGCACTTTTTCTGCTGCATAATCTCATTGCTGTTATTGAACGCAGCTTGCAGGCATTCTGCTTGTACAGCATGGTACAGTGTAGTTGACTGAAACTTTTAAATAAGGTTACATTTGAAGGAAGAACAAATATTCTGTTAAAATTAACACATATTTGAACTATGTGATCCGATTAAGCCAATGGTGGAAGAACTCAGATGTTTTACTAATGTAAAAGTAGGCTACAAATATAGTATAGCGGAGGCTGTGGCTCAGGGGATAGCAAGTTCGAGTCCCACTGCAGTCAGCATGTCGTTGTGTCCCTGGGCAAGACACTTCACCCCAAATTGCTCCTGTGGGGATTGTCCACAGTATAAGTCGCTTTGGAGAAACGCGTCTAACAAATGACATGTCATGTAATGTATAGAAATACTCGCCTTGTGTATAACACAATTGCTTATGTCATAATAATATATTGGATTACAATTATTGATACCTTAAAGGTGGGTAGGTAAATCACTTCAGAAACACTTCGTCATATTCCATGGAATGCTCTTATAGGTAGGGTAGGTCAGAATGGAGAAACCAGCTCGAGTGCGCTAGAATTTGAGAGTACACAAACGAAAAAAATCTGCCCCTTCCTTCAGACTTCCTTACAGAGCCCCTCCTCTAACACACACATGACCAATGAGGGCACGAGATAAGTTTGTGCACGAGATAGAAGGCTGACAGGCAGGTAGGCCATCCAATTATCTGCCACGGGCCGAGGCAGATAATTGGACGTGCTTTTTACAGCGCCACAGCTTCCACAGATGAAATATATATTTATTGTCAAATCATTTCATTTATTCATTGCTATCGGGATGTTAGGAGTATTCCATGGAATATAACAAAAAGTGTTTCTGAAGTGAATTACCTACCCCACCTTTAACATCCCGATAGTAATGAATAAATTAAATGCTTTGACAATAAATATATAAAATATTTCATCTGTGGAAGCCGTGGCGCTGTAAAAAGTACGTCCAATTATCTGCCATTTTGTTTGTGTGTGCAGGGGCGGACCTAGCACATTTGGTGGTGCCCTAGGCGAGTTTCACCACTGCGCCCCACCCCCCCAAAAAAAAAATCAAAACATCTTAACAGTTATACAGTAAAGTACTGCACCTTTATTTATTACAAGCAAGAACAAGAGCTAAGAATAAATGTAAAGTGCACACTAAATAATTAAAACAAATAAACAACTTAGCTAACAAACAATAATAATAACAATAACAAATAATAAAAAAATGTGCAAATTTGCTTTCAAAGAAAATTAAGAAGAAATGTAAAGTGCACACTAAAGAATTCAAACAAACAACTTAGCTAACAAACAATAATAACAATAACAAACAATGCAAACAAATTTGCTTTAAAAGAAAATTATGTATTGTAAAATATGTTACACATGTCAAATAATCAAAATATAATATGCTAAATAAACAAACAAATAAAAATTACAAATTCACTTTGTCTCAAGAACTATTTACATTCCACTCCCTATCATCACACAAGGTTAGCCTACATATTAGCTCCTACTGGTTTCCATTTACAGTGCAATCCTTCTGGCCTTCCTTGCTGCAAAGTCATCAATCACATCATCATATGAAATCTGACCACCAACCTCATGGTTAATACTGATTACAGCCAGACCACTGAGGCGTTCTTGAGCCATGGTTGACCTCAGGTATGTTTTCAAGAGTTTTAATTTGGAAAAACTCCTCTCGGCTGAAGCTACTGTTACTGGTAGCGTTGCACTGATCCGCAGAGCAATACACAAGTTGGGATATATTTCGGTGAGCTGCTTTGTGTGTATGAATTTCAACAACTCAAGAGTTGTCATGCTCTTTGATGGCAAGTCAGGTACATTTTCCAACTCCTGAGCCAGCTCCTTCCCATCTAAATCAGATTGCCCTCCATGGCTTAAGGCAGGGGTAGGCAAGTAAGTTTGGCCTCGTGCCAATTTTTTGCTGAGCCACAAGATGGCGGGCCAGAACATAATCAAAGCCTAATTCAAAGAATTGATTTTGGTAAGAGGGCGCAGCGCCCCTATTCCCCGGTTCAGAAAAAAACTCTGATATCGCTGATATCCCTCCCCATCAACACTCTGATGCGCAGTCAGATCCGCTGATTGGTTCACTGATGATATAGGCGCCCAATCCAGAGCCTCTGGCTAGACCCGCCCAAAGGGAGACTCGTCCTCTCTAGCCCCATTTCAGTCCCAAAGCCAGGGTTATTATCTGTATTTTAACAGACTTATCTTTTAAATTGAGGTGTATTTATTGTTCTCTTCAAAGTTTATTTTTCTCTGAAATGTTAGGGAGGATGGTCCTCCCTTTCCTCAATGGACGAGCCTCCACTGAGTAGAGTTATTAACTAGGTAGCAGTGTTATTTAACATACTTTTATTCTGATAAGTATTGTCAAGTTCTCTGGGGTTTTGGCATTTATTTGAGTGTTTGCCCACATTTGAGAGGCTTGAGGGGCAACGCATGGACAACTCGAATCCTTTTTCCTTTTCTTTATTTCAACTTTTCAAGGACACATTAGGATTCTTTCAGGTTGAAAACCTTTAAAAAATATCAAAGGACAAAATAAATCAATTACAGCATGTTTTGCTTTGCAATTTAATATAGGCTATTATAACCTAAATTAATCAGTAACCAAGTATTTTACTCAAACTCAATGTATTTAATAGTTAAATAAATACTTTAATTGACCTGGTTCCCCACAACCACATATTTGCCATATGTGACCCGCTCTATCGAAATCAGTCGGAAGTCGCAACGGCTCATTTCAAAATAAACGTGGATTTGCGTAAAAAACTAGTTTTTCAGGGTTCGGGTGTTTTGTTTGATTTTAAATAAACAAAGTCTTGGCTTTCAGAATATGGAACTTGTATTTCCAAAATCACACGATAAATACATGTTTGAAGCTTGTAAAGGGAAGATGACAGCTCTCCCTCCACTGACATTATGAATGTAAGCGGATATGTCGGGACAGAATTTATTTTACCGGACAAATTTGAAACTTACCGGTCATGTTTCAATAATAATAATAAGAATGGTGTAGCAAAGTTTCCGTTAGCAGGTAATCACCGGACTATGACAGGATATGCTGATGTTTAAAACTCAGTTAATGGGAGTCATTTTTATATTGCTTCAGTTTATAATCGTTACAGATCGAAAAGTTCAGATTCATTTTTCAATAAATGATTCCACAAACAACAAACAACATAATTATTACATTCAAACAAACTACTTGTAGTAGATGAAGTACATTATTCAAAAGTTTACATTAATTTGGATAATAACACGGGAGAAACGGATCCTCTCTTTTTCCCTCTCCCTCTCTCTCTCTCCTGACAGCCCGTCAGTTTCTCATGCAGCGCGCTAAACAGTGGGCGGGGCTTCAGCTGATCTGATCTCTCTCTCGGGTCCGGTTATACTTCACTCGCGTTTATGTCCATATCGATCAGATCCAGCTCTGCTGATCGGCCTTTATAGAGAGCACCGATCAAACTATTAAGAGTGAATATCGGCCGATAATGACCAGCGGCCGATCGATCGGAGCATCCCTAATTATTACCAGACATTTTGACCAGCAGGTTTTGAATTTACCGGTCTTTAATTAATTTTACCAGATAAAAACCGGTGATTACCGGCTAACGGAAACCCTAATGTGCGACTCTCGGTCCTATGTTGTTAAAAAAAAAAAAAAAAAAAAAAAATCTCAAAATAATATTGTATTTTTGATTCTCCAAATTACGGGCCAAATATTATTGCTGGCGGGCCAACAATGGCCCGCGGGCCACCTGTTGCCGACCCATGGCTTAAGGTGTGTGCAAGTGCCTCTGCTTGCTTCATCAGCTCTTGGTGTGGCAGGTCTGGGAAGTTGTACAGAATGCCAAACTTGTCTTGCACATGTTTAAGAGTGGTAAACCTCTCCTTTCACTGCAGCATCCACCACCACGTTAAAGAAGGTTACCTCCAGATTTTGCAAGGCATCCCTCAATGGCTCATCAGGAGACTCATGAGAAGTGCCTCTTTGTTGACTTCAGCCGCTTTTGCACAAGGACTGCGTCCACATTCATGTCTTCACACATGTCCTTGGCTGATGTTTGTGCAGCCACAAAGCCTGTGGCTCTGTAGGATTCGAGAGCTTTTTCAGTCTTTTTCAGTAGACTTACTGCTACATCCACTTGCATTGTTTGGGACTGCAGGAGTTTGCTCACCTGCTGAATTTGACTTAACATGTCATACCAGACCACTGTGCACAATGAAAAGCGGAATGATCCCACTTCTTCTGCCAGAGACTGGGCTTCAATCCTGATGATTGTGTCTTTGGCCTGGTTTCTCACCTCAAGCAGTGCCTCTCTCACAGCTGCGGCTTCATATCGCAGAGGCTCCACAGCTTTCACTCTGCTCTCCCATCTGGTTTCTGACCACATTTTGAGTGAAAGGTTGACGTGTTTCTTGAGGATGGCCCATCTCTGTGTAGAGGCAGAAAACAGGCAGTATAGCTTCTGCACAATGCCAAAAAATGATATGGCATCTTTGGAACTTTTGGCAGCATCAGCAATGACCACATTGAGTGTATGTGCCCCACAAGGCACAAACAAAGCTCTTGGGTTCAACTGCAGTAGCCTGGCCTGTAGTCCCTTGTTCTTCCCTCTCATATTTGCGCCATTGTCATATGACTGTCCTCTGCAGTCATCAAAGGCAATCTGCAACTCCTCCAGCCTCTTCAAAATCAGGGC